ATCGCAGCGTTCTCCAGCTCGCGATCGAGGAAAATTGGAGGAGGCAGGCAAGAGGAATCTTTTAATTAAGAGAACTTTGGCGGAGTGACACAACGAAGGAGATCGGCGCAGGTGGAGGAGGAGAATAGATGATAAATAGCCAAAGGGGAGGGAGATGAAAGAGGTGCGGCAGAAGAATGAGCCCGTGTCACGAGAGAAGAGTCGGATCAAGAGCGAATGTTTCTCTCGATTGAAATCGGTTTTTTTTCGTATTCTTTTTCTCCCAGGTATTGTCCCGGGCACAATAAGGGAGCAAGTGCACTTGACGGCATACCTTGCTTGAACGATTTCCGGCATGACAATCAAATAGATGTGTTCATTCTTAGAGCTGGAATTCAGCCAATGTAATTGCAAATTTCAGATTTTAATGCGATGGGTGTGTTTTTTTTGTGTGTGTGCAGTCATTAGTGATCGGGGTAAGACCTTGAACCGACCGTTGCGCTTTGAGAAACCAGTTGAATCGTCGACGACTAAAACCCGGATTCAACCCCAGGAACCCAGTTAATGCTGGCTTTGTCTCCAACCACATCATGTTTAATTTGCTCGCGAAGATTTCACTCACGTCGCGGCTCGATGATTTGTAATCGAGATTAAATTCAGCCATCAATCAGTGGCAATTTCTCATCCTTACCGTCCGTCGGGTTTCTTCTGTCTTGTTTGCTTTGTCTCGTTCGTTCAATTCATCATCGTTATCAGCCGTGATCAATCCACGGCTGTTTGAAAGCTGGCTCCAAGTTTTGCCCATCGATTGCATGTCCGTGATACAACAATCCATACAGCTCTTGCACAAGATCAGATTTCATCGCTCCATTAGCCTAAAGATAATGTGAGCACATACCTTGCATGCGTCATAAATAATCAATGCACGCATGCACAATTTAATGAAATTATGCCCACTGTATGAATTGATTCTAAGGCGAAAGTCGATTAATTGTAACGTACCCAATTTTTTGTATTGATTGTTTTAAACGTTTGGATTATAACATTATGTACATACCAAAAAACAACAAAGGTCTCTGCTTGGGTATTTGCCAAAAAACATTGCACACGTGCCACATATTTGATCTCTGCGCACGTCCATATCAGTGTGTGTGTCGGTGCGTGCTGTGTACGTGTACGGGGAGTGGTAGTGCAGTGATTAGCGCAATGCGCTACGAACCTGACGACCCCTCTGTTCGATTTTCGCTCGCAGCCCACATCACTCAGCAGATATCCGTACGAACCACTCCCGGATTCTCCCCTGGGTCAACGTAGCCTTGTATTCGTACCTGGCGTGTTGTGTAAACCATCAACACCGCAGGGGCAAACTGCAGGAGCAAACGTAGTCGGGCGTGGTGGAGGTGGTGGTGGTTGTGGTGGTGACACTACCACCTCGTGTGCCGTCTCTGCCCATCATTGGGTGCCCACTAACGGCGCTTGCCTCAAGAGTCTTTGTAAGCCACGCACGGAGATCATTGCACTTGATGCAGCAAATCTGGTTGTGACGGTCCCACCTGATGATGGAGACTTGTGTTGCCTCCAAAACGTCGTGATTTTTATTACTTTATTTTTATTAACTTTAATTTCATTTTTTTTACCTACGTGACTTTACCGAAAAAACTAAGAGTATGAATCCTTGCAGTCACGAAAGCTTCAAATCTAGAATCATTGCCTTTGATATTCGTGTCTGTGAATAGACGCGCGTGTCGACGGTCATTGCCGTCAGTGGTGTGTAAGCTACACGGTTCGAATCTCGCTTCGTGGAAATATGTTCAGGAGCTAACTGCCAACGTCGAGTTCTGCTGGCCACGAGACGGCTCCAGGAGGGAGTTCGCGTCGTTTTTTCCGTTCCCCCTCCTGCATTAAAGGAGCGCAAGGCTACGGTGGTTTACCATCTGGTCAATAGTTTGGGTTGCATGTCCACAATCGCACGGCCGTCGCTCGTCTTTAATCGTTCATTAGCTGCACTCGTGTACAACGCCGCAATTCACGGGTATGTATGGATGTATGTCGAACTTTTTTCTCACCGTACGTAGCCAACCGTGCTAACCGGAGATGCGGGAGCTTACGTGACACCAAAGCAATGACCTTGGACACTTCAGTAAGAATATATAATGATGACAGGATGAAGGCCCTCCCGACGGAGTGTTGGTCACCGGGGTTGTTTGACCATACTTCGCCACCCTGGCAAGCGTGGGTCGGTGAAGTGGGGGGGGGGGGGGCCCAGGTCCGGTTAAGATATCGCTCGCAAACCGATGTTGGCCCCTGCAGTTGCACTGCAGCTGTGATTTGGTTCAATGTTGAGGACACAGGTTAAAGCATAGGTGGATTGGAATGTTTACATCATATTTTGTGTATCATGTTTGTACGAGAGAGATGGCCAAATTGAAGGCAGATTTAGAAAGAAAAAATGAGGCTCGTACGACGGAGAAGAGACAGGTTTGTTTGTGCGGGTAGGTGAGAGGGTGGCAGAGCTTTAGACCGTAAGAGCAGCATAACGAAATAGCAACCTCCCGCACTGAGACCGACGGAAGTCTGAGATAGGGCAAACGCCACCAATCGTGGGCTGCGCGGGTCACGTTTGTGCCACGCGCAAAATCCGGGAGCTTGACAGAATACGCCGTCTCCTCACATTCCGCCCGTGCGATTTCACTTAAATGTAACCGCACCAATTTACAGTCACCCATCGCCCGTAAAAGATTGACAGGTCGCCAGCGCGCGCGGCACGCCCGCGAGCGTGACGCAGCGGCACTGCTGAGAGATTGCGCCGTGGAATGCGACGGCTCAATAAACACGCGCGCCGGGACGACCGCGGCCATTAACCCAATATTAGAAGGCGTAAATATTTATCAAAAAATCCATAACGCCAAAGCCACGACGCGTTACACACATTTACGCGCCGCGACGTCGCGGTGGTGAGCGATGCGCCGGGACTCGTTGTTTTTAACGCGCGCGCCGCCCCCCGCGCTCGCTCGTGGTAAAAGCGCGAAGCCCGCATCACAACGCGTGTGAGCTTCGTTCAGACGTAGCGTCGTAGATGAGTGCGGAGAGAGAAAAAATTTGGAAATTTTTTGTCCTTTTATTACGTGGGGGAGAGTGGGTTTGGTTACCCGTCCCCTCCGTATTTCAATGCACAGTCTCGCCCACGAGCCCAAAGTTCGCGCAATCTGGTTGGTGTTAGAGCCGACGCGGTGGAGTGGGCACGCTGATGTCGATGTGCCGCGTACCCAGCTACTCATTGTCGGGCGAGTCATCAGAGGAGATGCCTCCGATTAGCACGGTGGGCTACGTACGGTGCGAAGAAAGTTCATACGTACAAAACTGAACTCATTCGTCAATAACACTGCCTTAAAATAAAAAATAGGCGACGTTACGGGAAACGGCCCTTCTTCAAAGCACATATAAAGAAGGGATATTGCCCGAAATGTCACCTATGAATTATTTGTTATTTTTATATATTTTGTTTTCTTTCAAGGCAGGGGTGTTGACAAATATGTTGAGTTGTTTTGTTGGTTGCGCGTGAGCACCTCTGCCAATGCAGCAGCAGCGCCAAATTATTATTTTAGCCTGAGGAGGTACCTCCTTTGTCTCCCACTGGGGAGACAAAGGAGGTCAGGTGTGGTGCTGGCCACCCACCTCCTCGTGTGCCGTGCCGGCCTTCATAGGTGCTCGCTAACAGCACTTGCCCCTACAGTCTGTTAAGGCTATACGGGGGATCTTTGTCTTTGTATCGAGCGATTCCTCGAGGAATACGTAAACACGTTTAATGCATTCTCCGTGAATCTTATAAATAATAACAACCTGGGAGGTGCGTTTAATTCCGAATGGATTTTAATATCTCGGGATGTCTCCGTGGACGTTTTTGTAAAAAAAAAAAATCCCTTATTTGTATACTCGGCATTTGCAATGAAATATTGGACGCACTTGCCCTTGCAAGTGCTCAGCATGTCCATCGTTGCCGTGCGGATTTTACCGTCAAATTAAATTTTTGGGGATTGTCTTTCACAGCGAACTCGGTTCACCGGGCTGAAATTACTTGGTGTCCTGTCGTCCGTGGGCGCGCCATCAAAAAAAGCGATGACACGTTTGGTACAACGTAGCTCGGCCGTGCTTTCATGATTTGCCAGTCGGTTGAAATTCCGACTCGAGTTACGCTCGGCGTGAGATGGCACCGAATCCACGCTGGCGGTGTTTCGCAACTCCGCTCGCCGTTGCATTCCGCAAGTCCGGCTCTTTGGAATGACCAAACCGTGTTGTGTTCTAGCCGACGGTGGAAATGGGCCGGGATGACCTGGAACGCCTGGCTTGCGTGTTCCGGAAGGAACCAGGGACAAGTTTAATAGCGGCGGGTAGTCTATTTATGTCTATAAATATACGTCTATATATAATGTCTTTATGTATTTATGTCTTTATATATTTAACCCGCAATTGTTCGTCCATCATGCTCTGCATCTCCCAAATGGTACGTGGGGGGAAAACATGCATACAATGGTGTGAAAGGTCTGAGAATATACATAACAGATATGTGTAAAAAAAAAAAACCCATCACTTTACTTTGTTAAATGAATGCGCTGAGATTGGCAAAAAAAAGTGAATCTATTTCGTCAACGCTCCCGAAAAACGCATCGAAAGGTCTACAAACCACAACCGCGACAACCTACGTGGTGATCTTTTCGGTTCTTATGCCAGCGAAGCCACTGCACACTGCACGCACCTGATGGTTGGTAATCACGGAAAGCTGAACCGTGGGGTTGGAGGTTGTCACAAGGACTGTAGTTGGGGGAGGGGCGGGGGGGGGGACAATCACACAGGTGACCCCCACTAGTGGCACACGCAGCGATACATTTCCGAGGAAGCAATTTGTCTTCCTACCCAGAGTGTGTTTATGCATTTACCCAAAACCGTGTAGATGACGTTTCTAGTCGTCACCATCGCCGTCGCTTGCGCTCATTCAACCTCGCACGCCTTTCCTCGCCCCCCAGAGTGATGTCCCTCATCGAGAAGACCGTGGCCAGGTTGGATCAAGACACCGTTCTGGAGCAGCTGATATTCGAGCTGGGCCGCAAGCACTACAAGTACAACGCTCCTCCCAAGTACTACGAGGTGAGGCGGCTGTGGGGACGGGGGGGGGGGGACGCGGGGACTGGTGTCCGGACACCCCCCCCCCCCCAACGATGCCTACGACCCCCAACAACGGCCGTGCCTCCGGGTAGTTGGGGGGGGGCAGGGCGGGGTTGACCACAATCGTTGAAGGCAAGGGTCGGATTAGCGCCGTTATTTCCTTGGAAGGTTTCGCTTTCAGGACACGAGAAGCTGCGAGCGCGCGGGTGATAGATGGGGCATGATGGGAGGCGGGTGGGGGGGTGCGAGCGAGCGAGGCGGTGGGGGCTGGTCTTGCGGTGCCGTTAAGACAAGGTCACCGACCCGCGGCCCCTGTTGTCTACGCAATACTGCTGGCGACACTTTTTTTCATTTTTTCTCCTTTCCGCAGACAGCCGGCGACAAATATTTCCGCTGATAGCGAGGAAGCACGGCGCGTCTGATCCGGCGCGGTTACACAAAGCCGATTTTATTGTACATATATATATACACGGTGGCCAATAATGCAGGACACATAGCGTTATTGAATTTATTTTAACAAATGTCCTAACTGACCTCCATTAATATTACTGCATGGTGCATGCATTCTCTTTTGAAATTAATTCAGGCGTTTTTAAAAAGATTCCAGCTGCCTTCTGTGGCGTACGTGAACACGAAGTGAACTGGATCGTCTTCGGACGATTTTTTTGTTTCCAATTTATCAACGTCATCTGAAAGGGAAGAAGAAAAATAGATGGGTAATCATGATAATCGATACAATATTAACTTAAAGAATAAACAATTGCAATGTATAATGCGAGTGTTCAAATAAAGGAAGTAAACCGATGTGCGCTGACTTTTTGTCCACCCTGTAAAACACCAAAAATATATTTTTTATAGCCTCAGAATACCCCACGGTGCTATTTTTCCTGAGATCCTGCAAAGGGGAAAGGGGAAATGTCCAGCCGTGTAAACAAGGCTGGCATGTAAACAAACGTGCAGAGGCGGAGAGAACAGGACATTGCCATCATTGATTGTATTCAGGAGAGAAAAGGTCAGCGATTCGTCCAGATTTAAGCGGAGTGAGCATACAGTGTTGTAGAACGGGGGTCAAGGCTATTCTTGACATCAGGTGCAGCCATAGTTGTTGCGTTGTTGTCAGCCGGTAACTGCCCACTGCTAGGCAAAGGCTTCTCTCATGTTCCTACCGTTTCATTCCTCTCCTGCCCGCCAAGCGGACTCCGAACTCTGCGATTTCACCTCGCCGTCTCTTCCCGCTGTCTCCCCCCCACCCTCCCGCCGCTTCTTTTTGCCTTCCCTCCACGGTATCCACACGCTCCGTTGTTACTCATCGCTTGAGCGCAGCGGGGGGAGAAATATGGGAGGGAGCTGCCCCACCGTTCGACGGGAGGTTGTGAGCGGATACGGTCCTCCGAACGTGATGTTTTGTTTCACGGCGACCAATGCTTGTGTAGAGGTGTAATTGCGCATGGCTACGAATGTTGAGGTGTGATTATGCATGGCCACGGATGGCCAACAAACACAAGGGGCGGGGTTACGGCCGTACACAAGGGTGGCGCTAGCACCGACGTCCGCATGTGTATCCCCCACGGGCCCCCCCTCGGGGGCGAGTCCTATAAAAGGTGATGAGCTCGAGGGCTCGAGGTCGGGACTCAGCTTTAACCAGAGAAGACGGAAGACCAGCTAGTGTAGGCCCCAGAGCTCCCCTGGCTCGCTGTCCTTATAAGGGCCGACCAGGGCAAGCCGGTGGCGTGGCCCCGAGAGCCCAGACGAAGCTGGTCTGGTGACTCAGGGAGCCGGGATCCCAGCTTAACCAAGCTGGGACAGATAGCCTCCCCTAGTCCCGTAGTGGAGGAATTGGTATAGGTTAGAGGGGTTAGCTGTCGAGAATCCCTGTAGCCAAGTGACTTGTACAACTGTGTTGGTGTAATAAATAAGTGTGCCTCCGATCCTGTCGTCAAGCCTCCATATATACTTACTACACTTGGAAAGGGAACACACCGCTTGTTTCAAACGAGCGTTGGGGTGGGCAACTGTCGTTTGGCAAGTCTTGCAACGTGTTATTTTTCTCATCCGTCAGACCTTGCCGTCCCTCTCCACCGTGCCCTGTAATTTCTTTGGCAAGGCACGTCTACCGCAAAATCCCTGGGAAGGACGTCGTGATCATCTGAGCAATCATCATCATCATCATCGCCATCGCCCGCAGTAAAAATGTTCTCACAATCAAAATGTGCACTGCAAAACTGGAAAATAACAGGCGTAGGAGCCTGAATGAATTGATACGAATGTATCGATGCCCCACCACGTGGTTAAATAGCTGCACATTAAGTACGCCTACAAAAAATGAGATGCAACGGAGCACATGCGTTGCTGATCGATGGGCACGTGAAGACAAATACAAAGATCCACTGCGTAGCCGACGAAGGCTGCGGGGCAGGTGCCGGTAGCGCCTGTGAAAAAAAGCTTAATAGCTCATCGGATTTCTCTGGGATAAATAAGGATTCTGATTATGAATTCCCTCCCATCGTCTCCTTTCCCAAGTTCTTATAACCTTCCTCTGTTCAAGAAATACATTCACTCGTGTCTGTTATCCGTTCGATAGCGCTGTATATTACAGCCCACTTCGGGCCTGCGCTCGGCAACTTTGATTTTTTTTTTTAATCCTTTATATTAAGTTCACTTGCTTGCTTGCTTGCGCGCTTACGACCGTGCAAATCTTTCCGTCGTTTTTTAACCCACTTCCCGTGATCCAATCGAGCTGACATTTTGCACACAGACTCGTTGTGCGTGACAATTTATTTTCATATTTAATTTAAAATACCAATGTGATACAAATGGAACTCTTACTCAAGAAAAACAGAAATGAATAATAAAATAAAACCGATGCCACGCATATAAAGGATTTATAGTGAAAAACTGTGTTTTTACGGGTTAATTTTTACTGCCTATGCAGGCCGGAACAATGCTACAACGGGGGTTGGGGTGGCCACGGACCATGGCCGACAGCGTCCTTCGTCTCCCCAGCAGTGACGTTCGCACACCGCGCCAGGAACTCATTTAAGGCTGAGTGGACTTTAGGGGAAGAGCCCCATGCAGATTCAAATATCATTCAGCCAACGACATTAGCCGGGGTTAAGTAGCGCAGTGCGCTAACCGCTGCGCCACCGCTCCTTTTTAACTGACAGCGCGTGCATTATTTATCGACACATGTTGCAAAAGTTACAATTGTTAGAAGAGCTGTTGCAGGCTTGCGCCAAATGAAATGCAGTTGAATAACTTTTAAGTTATCTTTCTTTGTAATAGAAGCACAGCCAAGAACAGATGTTAAACGGGTGAAATACATTTTGCTAATAATAGTAACTTAGTACATGATCGTATTTGTTCTGTTCTTAAAGTGCAAGGTTATCACAAAGGTGCAAGGATTCACACACAGGCAGGCTGTGCAGTTTCACAGTAGGGGCAATGCTGCTATGCAAACCGTAAACCGCGTTTATATTAAATGTAATATCACATCCACTCAAGGGGGGTATCACAACTGTGTACACTCCAAATAAAATACGAAGACAATAAAATAACGTTGAAGTAAAATCCATGATAAAATCGTCAGTCTTACACTCGCTCCTAAAACACACCGAGGCTCGTAGCGTGCCCGATAACCCCCCCAGTGTCGAGGCTGGGAGAGTAGTCGTAGGGTCCCGCTCTGAAGAGCGCAGGTGCATGAACCCCCAGTCGCATGCCAGATCGCTCGGGCCCGCATGTACATTGGTACAAGACCATGCAGGGCTTTATAGACCAGAATGATCGAAAATTTGTGGTATCATTTTTTGCACATTTGGACTGTGACGCTGGTGCACAATGGTATCAGTTTTCTTTTTAAAATGACGACGCAAGATCTTGAACATTGACTGTGAAGCAGACTGTATTTTACCGCGAATACATCGGCAGTATTTACTAGGGTGGCCTGCCGGATTCAAACCGCCAACCAATCTGCGAACAGCGGTCGAACGCGCTGACGCCGGGCCACGTCACCGCCCAAGTTGTTACGGGATAATCTTCATGCCGTGACGATTACCAATATCGTATCGTGGCTTAACATAAACAAAAAATAAAATCGCATCAGCCCTCACGTGGACGCGGACACGGACGCCGGGGCAGGCATTCCGAGCATCGCCTCGCGAGCGACCGAACTAAAATAGCTCCGCGTGCATTGTCTTTTTTTAATTCGTACAGTGTTGGGGTTACGTTTTCAGTTCTGTATGAAGTCCAAGCCCTTTCGGTTCGTGCAATATCGGAGGCGAATTGTCTCGGGCAATGTCAGGGAGAGGAAATATTTACCGTAAATCGATGTCCGTGGTCGCATGGGACAGCATTAATTCACCCCCAGCTGTAGCCGATGCCAACTCTTGCCAGGGTTTCGGCTCCATAAATTGACCGCGTAGCTGGCATGGCAGCGGTGATAAGTGGTATCTTGAGCTGCCCTTGCGCTTATCGCCTGAGCTTGTCGTATGCACGGTGGGTATTTCTGTAATTATTACCGTCACTGCGTGTGTCACGTGTGTACGTCCGCGTGCATAAGCTGTGGTTCAAAAGAAATAACGTTCATTCATGAAACGTGTGTCTGCATGTGTGATATATCTCTGTGGGGGGGAGTGGTCGCATAGCGGTTAGCGCTGCGCTGCGCTACGAACCTGGCGTACCGAGTTCGATTCCCGCTCACAGGCCAACACTAGTGACGATTATATGAACCGGTGCTGGGCCTCCCCTAGGTCGACTCAGCCTCAAATAAGTGCCTAGTGCCACTAGGAAGACAAAGGCGGGCAGGCGTGGTGCTGGCCACCCAGCCCTTCGTGTGCCGTGCCGGCTTTCATAGGTGCGCGCTAGCAGCACTTGCCCCAACAGTCTGTTAAGGCTATAAGGGGGGTCTCTGTCTTTGTATACATCTTTGTATACATCTCTGTGTGCATCTGTTGGTGTGCATGATTATCTTCGTCTCATTGTGTATAAGTGTTTGTGTGTTTGTGTGTATCTGTGCATGTGTCCATGTGTTTTTGTGTGTATACATGGGTCTCTCTGTGTCTGTGCATATCTATGTATGTACGTGAATGTGGGTCTGGGTTTTTTCATGTGCACCTATTTGTGTTTAAAACGTTGCTCTGCTTGCTGCCGTCTGCACATGTGTATTATGTGTGTATATAGTGGGGAGCGGTAGTGTAGTTGGTTAGCGTGCTGTGTTCCGAATCCAATCTGTTACAGGCTACACGGCGGGGGTCTTCATCCTTGTCTTCCTGTGTGTGATGTCTTGTGCCCTCTCAGTTCGTGGGGGCTGAGTTCATATCGGCCGTGAAACCTGTGCTGGGGGATCGGTGGACTCAGGACGTGGATGACGCATGGCAGGCACGTATGCACATACACACGCACATACAGACACACATGCACATACACATGCAACACATGCACATACACACGCACATACATGCACATACACACGCACATGCACACGAACACACATACAGACGCCCACGCACATGGACATACACAAGCACAAAAAGACAAAGAGCCTTAACAGACTGTAGGGGCAAGTGCTGTTAGCGAGCACCTATGAAGGCCGGAACGGTACACGAGGGGGTGGGTGGCCAGCACCACGCCCGACCGCCTTTGTCTCCCTAGTGGCGATGTTTACACACCACACCAGGTACTCATTTCAGGCTGAGTCGACCCAGGGGAGCCCCGGGACCGGTTCAGATAATCGTCACTGGTGTTATCCGTGAGCGGGAATCGAACCCGGGTCGCCAGGTTCATAGCGCAGCGCGCTAACCGCTACACTACCGCACATGCACATACACACGCACACTCCCTCGTTCCCTACGCTACACTGCGCTTTCTCTCACAGCCAGCGGCAATTGTGGAATTTTTGCGATGGCAACACCATGAAGGAGAGAGAGAGAGAGAGAGAGAAAACGTACATCTCTTTCAGCTCATACTCATCATCTTTATAGTCAGCCATGATGTGTCCACTGTTGGATGAGCAATAGCCGGCAGCAGCAAAAATACAAATTGCATTTCATTTATGATGATGTCATCGTCGTCATTATTTGCCACGATCTATTCAATGCTGGATGAAGGCTATCCCCAAAGCTGTTTCACTCTTTCATGATTCTGTGATGTAATAATCCATCTGTCTGATCAATGTACCGTAGCAAGCAATAAAGGTATGTATTTATTTATTTTAGTTATTGAGTTGAGTTTTGCAGTTTCGGAGCCACAAATAACAAGATGGCTTGGAGAATGCCTGGGCTACCGAGGCAGGCACTGGAATAGTACCCAGGTGTTTGAGAGCAATCGTAAGACTTTAAGATAGGTCTTAAAGGACCTATCACCGTGTACCAAGGCGAGCTGCTGAAGCCAGGCAAAGGTGATCGAATTTACCGAACAGACCCAAGAGTGCATACATTATCAGAGTTATGTTTTTTTGTTTGCATTACGACTGCAGGTATTGTGGTCTATGCAAACATGACTCCTTGTAAAAAAAAAGGTGTCAGTTTTGTTGCCAGATAAAATGGTACAAAAACAATTATTATATTTTTCTACTGGCAAATGAGGTTCCAATGGTGTAAATGCTTAGCCCGAGCTCTCAAACTCTGATGGTGCATTGTCTTTGAGTTGTGCGCCTTTAGGCGTCATCTGGTCCAACACCATGTGAGACCAGGCTCTAAGGAAAGCTGTCTCGAGTGTGGACCAATCAACTTCAAGGACAGTGCATACATTATCAGAGTTATGATTTTTGTTTGCATTACGACTGCAGGTATTGTGGTCTATGCAAACATGACTCCTTGTAAAAAAAAAAAGGTGTCAGTTTTGTTGCCAGATAAAAGGGGCAAAAAACAACGATCAATTATCAGACCCAAGAGATCGGGTAGAAGGAAGCGATGGCAGATGCAGAAGAGAAGGAAGCAAATGCGGTGGCGTCAACGCCATTTGCTGTGGGTGACCTCTTGACCTTGACCTTTGATTTAAAAAAAAATATGAACCGTCTTTCCTGAGATACAATCATCCACGTCTCATAAAGGACGGTGAATCGCAGTGGGCCCTCCACCTGCTTATTAAGGTGCATCAATCATTCCGGAGGAACATTCGTTTTTATTTTGTAAGTTTCGCTTTAGAAGAACATACATTTTCTCTTGTCAGCTGTTTTAATATAAAAGTTACAATGTAAAGCATAGTTTTATTCGGCGGTCTGCATTCCAGTCCATGAAATGAAATACCTGGGCTTGTCAAACGCTGTTGTCGCAACTGAATCTCTGGTTGAAGGCACGAGCTAAAACTTCGGGCCCCAAATCAACTCAAGTGGCCCTGAATTTCATGAAAAAGAGGGGTACATGAAATACCAGCTCATGTTCAAATCCTGCTAAATATAATAAACTAATTAACACAAACATCCAATTAATGTCTCTCATCTCTATCTTGTCAGCATCTGATCTCTCCTCTCATCTCACGAAATCTCTCTCTCTCATGTCTGCATCTCTCTAATTTCACCATATTTCTGTCTCATCTGTATCTCTCTTCTCTCATCTCACGACGCCTGCCATCGATCTGCATCTCTCTTCTCACTACATCTCCTGTTTTTATCACGATAATTTTATACATTTTATAAATTGTGAAGGGGGGGTATAGGGAGGCCGAACAATAATGTCTCCTGTGGACTCTCATTGGGGAGCTGGCACTACCACTAAATCATCATCATTAGTGGCAACTGAGCCATAATTTTTTTTAAACGATCGTACGTAACATTTTTGCAGTTTTATGCGTTTCGGTTGTTGGGTACCAGCTGTTTCTAGGAATCTCACAACTCCCGCTGGTTTTTTTTTGCTAAATTACATTCGTTAGCTCTGCCAACTCCCCGCGCCGGCGAAAAAAAAACATTTGCTCGCGTTTTATTTTCTTTGGCGTTGTTTTCCTCCCCTAGTGGCTCTGAGCACACCGCACGTGACACTGAGAACACCGCACGTGACACTGGGCACACCGCACGTGACACTGGGCACACCGCACGTGGCACTGGGCACACCGCACGTGGCACTGAGCACACCGCACGTGGCACTGGGAACACCGCACGTGGCACTGAGAACACCGCACGTGGCACTGAGCACACCGCACGTGACACTGAGCACACCGCACGTGACACTGAGCACACCGCACGTGACACTGGGCACACCGCACGTGACACTGGGCACACCGCACGTGGCACTGAGCACACCGCACGTGGTACTGAGCACACCGCACGTGGCACTGGGCACACCGCACGTGGCACTGGGCACACCGCACGTGACACTGGGCACACCGCACGTGGCACTGGGCACACCGCATGTGACACTGGGCACACCGCACGTGGGACTGAGAACACCGCACGTGACACTGAGAACACCGCACGTGACACTGGGCACACCGCACGTGGCACTGAGCACACCGCACGTGGCACTGAGCACACCGCACGTGGCACTGAGCACACCGCACGTGGCACTGAGCACACCGCACGTGACACTGGGCACACCGCACGTGACACTGAGCACACCACACGTGACACTGAGCACACCGCACGTGACACTGAGCACACCACACGTGACACTGAGCACACCGCACGTGACACTGAGCACACCACACGTGACACTGAGCACACCACACGTGACACTGGGCACACCGCACGTGACACTGAGCACACCACACGTGACACTGAGCACACCACACGTGACACTGAGCACACCACACGTGACACTGGGCACACCGCACGTGGCACTGAGCACACCACACGTGACACTGAGAACACCGCACGTGGATCTGTAATCCTCACCCTACACCTGGGACGCGCGCTACAGGTCACGTGACCGCTCTCTTTTTTTTCCTACGAGGCTGCTGAAATATGAAAAAATAAGATTCCCTGCTGAATGATTACAGTCGAGCGGAATGATCAGAGGCGTTTCGAGGTAATCGTGCGAAACGCACGGCCGCGGAAAGAAAACTCTGCGGGCGAAAACACAGACACGAACGTGGGTAAATCCACGCTCATTTACGGGCGGTTGAACTCTATTTTTGTTTTTTAAATTGATGCAGCGAGGCTTGAGGCTTATTAAATCGTAACCAGCCCATGCCGTTGTTCTGCAAGCATTAACGTTAACATTGCCCTTCTGTTCCGTTCTGCTTATTCAATTGTTTTGTAGAAAAAGTTAGGGCTTTACAATTTTGAAAATGCACGAACCATCTGCCAGGCCAGCGTGTCAGTGTGCGACGGACGCAATGTTATTCATTCGTGCCATTTTTTTCGCTTTTATTTATTTCATCTGCTCGCCTCCGGGCTCTCTCAGAGAATAGCTCGTTCTGCAGTGCGTGCTTGGTTTTGCAAATAACCAAAATATGTTTCTGTTGCATTAGCTCCTGTGTGTTGATGTAGACGGGCCTGCGACGAGATTCAAGATATTCTTGGTTCTTTCGGTAAAGTCACGTAGAAGGGAAATAATAAAATAATAAAAATAAAACAATTAAATTCTCACGACGTTTCGATTGTGGTTTTCACACCTGATGATGATTGCTTGTGTTGCAGTCGAAACGTCGTGATAATTGTATTGTTAAATTTTTATTATTTTATTATTTCCCTTCCACTTGACTTTACCGAAAGAACCAAGAATAGGAATCCCTGCAGTCACGAAAGCTTTAAATCGAGACTCAAGATATTCTCAGGAGGGTCCTGCTCGGGCATGTATGGCCCATCTTTTTTTATTTTTGAATTATTTTTCAGCGTGGGAGTAAACTTGAGAGCCTGGAGAAAAGCATCTCCAAACGAGGGCAGAGCCACACACATCCCGTGCCAGAGATGTGCTGCCCCACATTAGTTCTTCGTATACAGCCCTTGCAAACTCCACTGCTGGATGAAGGTCCCCTCTCACACCGTGTCATAGTGGTTGTTGGACTATACTTCACCATGCCGGTCGGTGCAGGTTTGGTGAATGAGGGTGCACAGGACCGAATAGGATATCACTCGGCATTGCTGTTGACCTTGACGGGGAATCGGACTTAAAATCATGAAGATGATCTTTTTTTTTGCCCAAGCAAAACTATTTCATTTACCAGGTAAAGCCCACTGAGCTATTAATTATTTTTGCCGAAGTGACCTGGCCACACAGGATAGCTAGTCGAAGTGGCTTATATTATCATCATCATCACAAGCAGGAATGTATAGTCGCAGCCAAGTAATATCTCTAAATGTGGAGGGTCAAACTGGAGGAACCCGGAGAAAAATCCACGGACCACCACGGGGATCGAACAAGCGACCTCTTGTGCACCAGACGATGACGATAACATCTCCTTGCCATCACGCTGCCGCCGTAACTCAGTGCGTTAACCGCTGCACCACCGATCCTTCCCAATTAGCCCTTAGATTGGCTATAATCGAAGCTGACAAAGGTTGGAGTGTACATGCAAAACAGTTACCACTGAAATGCCCTTCACAAGACTGACCTGTCGGTTTGTGGGGCGTGCAATACACGCTTTCATCCGAAGCAATTCTTGTTTTTTTTTTTCCTTGCCTTGAATGACATGTTTTGTTTACATGATAAGCAATTCAGGTCAACGTCTCCGTCGCTTCTTCATTTCTGTCGCTCTTTAATTGGTTTCCAGAGACTCCCATCGACTCCCCCAGGTAAAGTCATTGAGACATGACGGACGTGGTACACATGGAACATTGAATGCCACAATAGGGTGACATGAGGCAGCCAGAAAGTAGGTTATCGGGCGATCTTCATCTCCCGTTACTGTTAACGGGTGACGGCGGTGGGCAATGATGGAAATTCCACATTCCTGTGACGGACACCAGTCCATCCCACCGAGTGGTGCAGCCTCTCCAGAAGATGATGCTTTTAGGAAGCCAGTAGTGGCAATGGGTTGAGTCAGCCCTGACGGGACTTTGAACTCGACACTGCATTTCCCCATTCGTATTCCAACGTGAAAAAAACAAATACTGTATCTCCCGTGTTGCCTACAAAGGCTGTTGGAGTAAGTGCTTGTTAGTGAGCACCTATGCCAGCGCAATGAACGATGTGGTAGTGCGGCTCATGGCACCCGGCTGCCTTTGTCTCCCCAGTGCTGATGTTTACATGCCACATCAGGTACTCAATCATGGCTGAGTCCACCTACGGGTAGCCCAGGACCGGTTCAGATATTCGCGGACCCGCAATTGAACGCGGATGGCCTGGGTTTGTAGCGCAGTGCGCTAACCTCTGCGCCACCGTTCCACGGCCCGCTCACACAACAAAGACGCACAGATGCACTCCATGAGTAACAGTAACGAGTGATACACCCACACAGAGGCGATACAGACGTTGGAGGCAATAAAAAGGGCTTTGTTGAAAGACAGAAGAAATAACGAGTCAATGTTCTGACCGAATGGGGTTTATTTTTCATTTGAGGCCGAACAAAAGATGTTTGGCCGATATTTGTTTTTCTAGTTTTGTTTTCTCTTGTTTAGTGATGTTTACTCACTGTTATCTCTTGCGCTGAAATGATTTGAGTTAAAGTCAACAAACCGTGGCATTTGAACGGTTTCCTGAAACCACATCCCCTGACACGAGTGCTCCACTCCGCGCTAAGTCTAGCTTCGCGAGCAGGGCATCGCGTTGTGCCGATGCACCGGTTATATGCACGTGCTTCGTCTAGTGTACAGTTTAGCAAAAAACATTATTGCTACTTCTGGCTCACGGTACATTGGCACCGACACCACAGTTATCACACTCTACAATGTCGATTGATGAGTGTCAGGAGACCCGTATGAGCTGATCTATTTCAGTGCATCTTTTGAACTCGCTCATTTCACATCTTCGGCTATGACGCGTGGAACGGAATTGTGAGCAACTGAGAGAAAATATGGGGTAAAACAAAAATAACAACTAACGTACGTATGTTGAGCTTGTTCTATGTAGGTTGAACTTCTTTCGCACCGTACGGACCACAAACGAAACGCGCACACACACACACAACAAACATCTGATAACTCCATGGAGAGAAGCACGCATGGAATTACACTGACACAGAACGGAGAGAGGAACCCTTGGACGAAGGAAGATACACAAGCTCGAGACATCACACACTAAGCAGGAGGCATTGCTAGAAGGGATGCTGGTGAAGGGGGCGACAGACCATGAGGACATCTTTTGTATGTTACACTGCGGTCGTTGCCGTTTGAATTTGCGTACTTAATGTCCGCATTTAGATGGCCTCGTCACAAGGTGACGACTGCACCGATTGCAAGTGGGCCCTCCGAATTTTGTTGTGGGATTAAGCACCTGGGCAATTCACGGCGTCGATATTTTTTAGCACGTTTGGCTACGTACGGTGCGAAATAAATTCAACGTACAAGTACGTACGTTGCTGCTTGGCAGCTATTAATTTAATGCAGTTGTTGCTGCCGCTGCTGAAATTTTCATACACTGCCATCTTTTTACCATCCTCACATACCTGTCAACCCCGCCGGTTTAGCCGTATTCTTGTCGAGGGAAATTGAGTTTTCAGGTCCATACGGCATACAGCCGTTTCAATAAAAAAAGTGTCTAATTGTTTGTGTTTCTCCCTTGTGGTGGGACTTTGTAGGATGAACTTTGAGATGTATAAGGACACGGGGTGACCAATGAGGTCCGAATTGGTCTGTAACAAGGTATGGCACTGATAAGGGGTTGACAGGTATGTTACTCATCATCATCGTCGTCGTCGTTAACGTGTCGGCAATACGTTCTGCGGCAGGCCCTCTTCAAGTACATCACGACGAACATGGAGCGCGGCTTCAGGGAGGAAGAGTCCGGCTTCGTGCTGGGCACGGTCGCCGGCGGCGACAGCATCGGCGACAAGAACGCCAGCGTCGTGGACGAGGCCAAGATCAACGCCGACGCCGCCACTCAAGATCCGGCGAACTGAGCCGAGGCCCCCCGCAAAAACACCACCATCCCCCACCACCACCACCCCCCCCCACCCCCCCCACCACCCCCCCCCCCCCACCACCCCCCCACCACCCCCACCCCACCACCACTCCACCACCACCCCAACGCCAACCCTGACACCGCGCCGGTATTCAGTCCCACGCAGTTTTACGAGTGCCGGTAACGACTTAGGGCTTGAATATCTCGATTTGAAGCTTTCGTGACTGCAAGGATTCATATTCTTAGGTTTTTTTTTACGTGACTTTACCGAAAAAAAACCTAAGAACTTGAATATCTCACCGAACGTTTTTGTTGTTTGTCGTCGTCTTTAACCGGGCTTCTGCCGTGTGACCGGAGCGAGTAGGCACGCGACGAGTGGCCGCGGCCACAGCGAAAGGTTTACTGGACGCGGTGTCCCGGCGGGCGTAATTGTTGTTCGTGTCGCTGACCCTCCTGGCATGAAGGACGAGGATGTGGGGCCGTGGGGGAAGGGGGGGCCCGCGTATTCAGGGATTGCGGATTGAGTAGACCCGGAGGGGTGGCATTGTTGGACCTCGAGGGGGGCAGGGAGGGAGAAGTACAGAGCGTGGGGGGGGAGGGGGGAAATCGTCGATAAGTTGTTCGAGCAAAACGATAAAAACACAGCGTAGCACCTCGCGCACGCAACGTGACGGGGACAATATCGTCAGGGGCTGCAGCCAGAGCGTCGTGGTCCTACTGTTGACCCCTTTTTTTTAACACCGGCAACCATCAGGCAAATTGTGGGCACGTGCGCACCTACGAGGGTGAGTCGAAAAATGTTTCCCCTGACCCCGCGGCACAATGTCGTTGGCACGGGGCCCTGGTACAAGGGATTGATGAGGCCCTCCTCACTGTCAAATGACCCCTCCGTCTTCTTAGCCCGGCACCTGGGCACCCCACAGCCAGCCCATTCGCCGTGTTGCAGTTGCACAGCCTGCACACCCGATATTCTGTGCCACGACCATCGGCATAAACAGTGGCGCTGTGCCAGTGAAACTCGGCACAGATGTTGCACGGGAGCCCTGTTCTACGTCAACCCTCGCTCAATGGGAGGTCGCTCCTGCTCCTCTGCTGCCCCCACAGTCTGGACTTCCTGCTCCCACTCTCTGCCATCCGTGTTGCAGACTCCCTGCCACTGTTCCACTCCCAAGGCTCAAGACATTCCTTTTCACCTCTGCCTATGATTGACGTCCTCACTCTACTAAAGAAATATGACGACTGTTTCTGTAGATCGTCCTGAGATTCGGTCACGTTTAGACGCTGTAATAGTCCACGTTGTGATATTTGTAGGTTCTAGGCCGTGCCATACATTTTCCCCCCAGCAATGGGTGAGTTTCCTGATGACATTTGAGTCGAACAGTAGTCATGTGCCTGGCTCTTTAGGCCAGGTTGTGGCCCAGTAATAGAGCCATGACGGTCCCCAACTGCACACCAATGATTGCAACTCCTGTAAGAGATAGTCTCGGATAGATATACACTTTTAAATGCCCCCGTCCCCACCCACCCAAATACTTAATGAAAAACTATGTGCCACGTGTTTACCAAGTTTCACTGTCACTCAATGAAAGTACCTTCATGGTCGGGAAGGGGGGGGGGTGCGAAACATTTGACCTCCTCGTAACTCCACTTTAGATGATCGTCGGGTATTCTTCCAGTTCTTGTTGTAATCGGGCACCGCTGTACAGAATAACACACCTGGGGAGTACAGCTGGCTTTAATGAGCACAGCCAAATGTAGTCAGCACATGGCTGGCATGACGACGCGTTGCTGTGCTTCAGCCAGGTGCGATGCATTTATTTTTGGAGGATCCAACATAAGGGTGACGTCAACAGTCGGGTCCACAAAACCTGAATCATGAGTTGCGTGCAACCCGGTTGCATGCTTGGATGCGGAACAGATGTCTCTGCAACCAGTTCCAAGCAGTTTGCTCAAGCTGTTGAGCAACAGTGATAGCATGCTCGACTTTCAAGCATCTGCTCAGCGATTTGTAGTCGCAAATTTCATCGCGTGCTTGCACGTTTGCGACTCGCGAATGGTTGTTACTGCGATCCTGAATGACATGCCACGGTGCTTTCATCGTTGGCCAAACTACTCGCTCGGCGTGTGGACAAAGCGGTTTAAGTTTGCGCGATTTAGAGAGATTTCTTTGCGCGACTGCTGATCGCCCGTGTGTGTGTGTGTGTGTGGACCTGGCTTCGTGGCGATTTTCGCACACACACCTTCACCCCCAAACACCCCCTGGCGAGTGTGAATCTCTCACGGGCCGAACGTGCCCTGGCAGGCGTCTTCGCACGTTTTAGCGGTCGCCGTTCATGTCTGCACACTTGCACGCACACACGCACACACGCACGCACACACGCACGCACACACACACACGCAAATATTCCCCCGGTATCGCCTTTCACGGGCTGTTGGGGCAAGTGCTTTTCGCGAGCGCCTATGATGGCTGGCACGGCACACGACGGGGTGGGTGGCCAGCATCACGCCCGGCCGCCTTTGTCTCCCCAGTGGCGATGTTTACACACTGCACCAGGTAACCATTTGATGCTGAGTCGACCTAAGTGAGGCCCAGGACCCGTTCAGATAATCGTCACTGGTGTTGAACGTGAGCGGGAATCGAACCCGGGTGTCCGGGCTCGCAGCGCAGCGCGCTAACCGCTACACACACTTTCACCGCGCTGTCCATTCGACACCTGTGGTTTTCAGACACGCACACGCTCTGGCTGCAACTGGGCTTTCTCCTACCCTATGCATTGGACTAGGAATTATTGTGGAAATGTGGTGATGGCTCGGCAAATTAAAAATAAGCCATGTTGTAAAGTTAGTAATTTGACCCGCGTTAATGGGTTCGGGTTTTCTTTCTTTTACTTTCTTACTTTCGCCAACGCTTGTAGGCATTCCACCTCCTGATGTATAAGAAACCGGGGCACATACGAAGAAGAATGTCTCACGATAGCGGGACTGGGTAACACTGCGTGTGAATGCGTTGCCGTCAGTGGTGTACTTCTATAACGCAGCTGACAAAAAAAAACCGAGACCTATAATGCCCCCTGGGACGACTTGGAGATTTCCCAGGACAGTAGCAGCGGCAAGCAGCCTGAAAATATAGGGCCTCGTGAGAAAGCCCAGGACAAGGTGTGGCAGGCCCCCCCATGTGGTTACGCCTGTCGCTCGCAAGAGGTAACTAAGCTGACCGTGTTCGCGTGCGTTGGCGGAAGGCAATCAATTCCCAGGGGTTCGTCAGGGGGTGGGGGGGGGGGGAGTTCACTCCGCGTCTCGCCGCATTCATTCCACCGGCTTATTTCCAGCGCCAGGCAGCAGGAAGGTCGAGGAAGGGCATGAGCGCCCCGCGCCTCAAGCCGCCGCCGCCACCTTATTGAAACTTTCACTCGAGCACCTGCGCTGCGGATACCATTGAAGGGGCCGTTGTGAGCAGCCGGAGTGGTGGGGGGATAGGTGGTGGTGGTGGACCATTGGGGGGGCAGGGAGCAAGCGAGGGATTTGCGTGAGCCTGTTGATCAGTCGCTCACAGCCCCGACGAGTAGGCGTAAGCTATTGGAACGTCGACGGTGTGGAAGAACGCTTAAAAATGATATAACGGTTCACGATCACCATATAAGCAAACACTTTAGAAGTGGCAGTATTTGGCTTTTTTCTGTTAAATGCGCAGCGACGAAAGGCGAAACATTGCAATGTGTTTGAGCAGCAATATTGCATAATTTTTATATTCGCATTAAGGACCTTAATGGGAACACTGTCTTGGTTTAGAATTTGTGAATTGTGTTGTATACATATTTTTTCACATCGTTCTTCAAATGTAACGTTTTACACGGTTTAATGTTGCCCATAAGTTGAAAGCTCTGAATATAAAATGTAACACAAACTATAGCATGCTTTTATTATGAAAATTAATTTCATCGAGTTATTCGCTCACAAAAAATAATTAGCGTTTTCTCAAAAAAAAACAATCGAAGAGAAATTCCGTGGAATTCCTTTGTAAGATTGAGCTCTTGGGTGATTCACAGACCGTTGCTTGTGTGGCCGTGTCAGCCTTCAGCAGGATTTAGAGAAATCGTAACAGATATCAGATACATCATATTGACTCGCATCAGATTTCATTACGGACATTTGCAAGAGGAATACAGTGCCATAAGCATGGTGAATTGTCACGTTAAGGAAAATTAATTTAAGGAATCAGCCAGAGTTTCACTTGATAGATTTTCTATGTTGATATACAGACACGTTATTAGCCGAGGCAGCTTTCATTAGCGAACGCACGGGGCCGTTTAAATGACGTTTCATCTGTCAATTACTCCGAGCCGTATATGACAGTATTTCAAGCGTGCGTTGGAGGCGGCTGGCTACTGAAGCTGCATTAATTGAACAAAGGCAATGGGATCGACGCCAAACGACTTGAATAGTAAATGTGGCCAGCCCCAACAGTCCATCACTCTCGACCAGGTTGCCCCTTAAACAAGACACGTCGTCAGGGAAGTGCCACTCCACCAGAAGACGGCGGTTGGGGTTTTTGTTGTTCTTGTTGTCAGGGCAGCATTGTTGTTGGCTGCCCGCTCGCTATATTACTGATCTTCCTCAGGGGGTGGCATAAAAGCGCGGATGCCTCGGCCAAGCAAAGAAATTGGCCATTCAAGCGGCGTGTGCCTGTCTCGTCTGCGTCTTGACCCCTTGTCAATCAGTGGCCCGCCCTGGTCCGCTTCGCCTCGCTCTGTGCACCACACCCATGTGTGTGTGTGTGTCTTCTTCTTCTCGGTTCCACGTATCCATAGCTGTCAACCCGTACGGTTTACCAGTGCCGGATTAAGCTAGTGCGGGGCCTGTAGCATGTGTTATAAAGGGGTCATTTATTTAAATAAAAACACAGAAATATTCAAACACAATCTTTTTTTACTTGCATAGTAAAGTAATTGTATTTTTTCATTTGTTATACAGCCAAATAATACGACAAGTCACTAACCTTAAACACCCAGTATTTCAGACAAATTGAAGGCAGTATAGTACTATAATAATAGAGCAAGTGCAGAATCACTGAACCGGAATTGATAGCTTGAAAGCATTTAGCGCGGGGCCCTTGAAATTGCGGGGCCCATAGCATTTGCTACTTTTGCTACGAGGATAATCCGGCACTGCGGTTTACCCGTATTCTTGTACATGGAAATTGAGTTTTTTTTTTCGGTCCGTACGGCGGTACGTACAGCGGGGAAAGAAAAAAAAAAGCGTCTGTCTGTTTGTGTTTCACCACCTATGATGGGACTTTGTGGGATGAACGTTGAAGATTCATAAGGGGGCCACGGGGTGACCAATACGGTCTGAGAATCGGTCTGTAATGAGGCAGGGCACCGATAAGGGGTTGACAGGTATACCGATCCCGGCGGTGGCGAGCGGCACAGCCAAATCGGCGTCAGCGAGTTCATCCCTCCGCGCTCGACAACTGCTCTTTGGTCGAATCGTGCCTTCTTTTGCAAAAACAAATGGACAACGGTGCCCGCTTTCCGTGCGCAACTCAGTTCATTGAAAACGTTTAGCATAGAGGAGAAGAAGACGAAAGCACCGCTGTGGGATTTATAGCCCGTGGATTCGTACCCGTTAGCTCTAGGGTCATGAGCTTCGTTCGTCCAAATATTTAAAGTCTGTACTCTGTGTCTACGTATCATGCAAATGTAACAAGCAGTACTGTGTCACTGTAATGTATATATTATATATAATGTAGTATTTCAACGGTGGTTTTAAATGTATCGTAGCTTGCCGCCGCAAAGCAAACGTGAGCTATTACATCCCTCTGCCGCGCTTGTTCGTCACGAGTCCTTTATGTTGTGGCGGTGTGTAGTGGCAAAAAGGCGAAATGTGGGGGGGGGGGGGGGGGGGGTGGTTTCAGTCTCTCCGCGGCCATTCCGACCGAAGCCCGTTTTACATTTCACTGCGCGATATTCGAGGTGCGATTCAATTTGGCAGCGCGTGTTAAAAAAAAAAAAACTGCGTTTCGGTAAACTCGAGCGTAACCTGCTGGGCCCCCTTTCTGTTCTGACAGCTCCATCGCACAGGAGAGGGTCAGGCAGACAGAGCTTATTCCTCGGTGGGGTCGATAACAGTCCTCGCATTTAATCACGTCCTGCAGCTAAAATGTCCTTAATTGGCTGAATTGCTTAAAATAAATATTGAATGCAAGAAAAAATAATACGACCCTGTATAGATTTTTTTTCTTCCCTTTTATTCGACTGCAATCACTCAGCCCCGAATGTTGCTCGAGGAATGAACAAGAGGGTCCATTGTTCATCAGCAAATTAGCACATTCCCATGTTTGCATCGGCTGTGGCCAGTCGGGTTATGTGCAATGAAATAAATAACCCCAATGTGCTGCGTCCATCCGTGGGTAGCAAAGCAGTGCAGTTGTACTGTGCTTCTATGCTCTCATATGTGCCGTGCCTTCACCAACCCGCAGTGACCAGCGCGTAGGTGAAGTGTGGTCAGTAACCCCCACGACCATCAATGGCATGGGGAATGCCCTCAATCCAGCAGTGGATTAACATGACTTTTCGTGTACGTAAAAGGAAGAAAAAAATGCACACGTTGGACAAATTAATTACGGACAAGGTGGGAAAAATGTAAGCAGGCGAGAAATTGGGCCGCTAAGTAATTACATGTACGCAGTTAATTGCTTATTTAGTTATGGTGTATTGCGGTAGAGCGTTTGGTGACCGGTAAACATAATTTTTTTTCATTAATTGTGCAACTGCTTGGATAACCTTGCGTTTGAACGCGTTAATGACAGACTGCTTACTGTGCGTCAATATAAACACGGTGCTATGCTGCTCTGCTGTAGTGGACGAAGAACTGATGGCAGTACCAAGGCATCCCGACAAAACGGCTGTGTGCATTTTGAAAAGCAATAAAGAGCATTTCAACGGGCGTGACGGTAATCGGTTACTCGCCACGAGTAATGTTGCTCAGTATAAACAATGCCAACTCTGAAACACTATGGAGCTTCTCGCTTAAGGAGGTTGGCACTGCCCGAGGTTTCCACTGGCCATGCGGTAATTAAAATGCAATGAGTTGGGTGCCCTCTACTGCATAAGCTGTGGCAGCACCGTACGTCTAAATTGGAAGGTCAAACTTTATCCCATTTATTCTTCCACATAGATCAGTCAATCTTAACCACGTCTGCAGAAAGCCATATGCATTCTGTAAATGAGCATAACTCAATAAAACAAAAGTTGCAGTTTTATTGGCGTGTATTATTCTTTTGATGTGCGATGTTGGTATTCGTTCAGATATTCTAGATTTGAAGTTTTCGTGACTGCAAGGGTCCATACTCTTTGGTTTTTTCGGTAAAGTCACGTAGGTAAAAAATAAAATAAATTACAAGCTTGTTTTGCCTCCGAAACGTCGTGATTTCATTTATTTTTACCTACGTGACTTTACCGAAAAAATCAGAGTATTCGTTCAGATGTTTTCTTTGCTACCACAAAAGGTCAAACAAAAAAGAATTTCGTTTTTTTTAAATAAAAATATTTATTGATTGGTATATCTGCAACAGGCTTACACTGCACACCACAGTAGTAGTAATGTCCACCATACCATAAATAGGTACTGTATATACCAACACTCAATATTTATCCAGTACAAGATCATAGCATTTGGGTAACATCTCTCTTGTGAAGGCTTTACATGTGCGCGTTTGTCTCTCAAGTTTAATATTTGAATTTTGCAATGCCAGGTGAGTGCTATTCTATATTTTACACTTGTTAATGCCCTACAGTAATTTTAATGGCAACTTAATCTGTGGATCTTTTATATAAGGCAATTAAATTCACCAAGACAAACATTGGTTTAAAAAAAAATTAAATATTGTTTCATATCATGCTGTCGGCGCTGGTTCATGAGCAAATGCTCTTCTCTTCTAAACACACCTACTGATATTAAACTCACTGGGGAAGCCTTGCAGCTATATTTGTTCTAGCAATTTAATAACTATTGAGGTCACTTGTAAAAAAATATATTGCCAGTTACCACATGCACATGCAATGTTTTTATTTCACACTTCGCTACTTTTCAGCATCATTTTTTATGACATATCTACCCAACTCTGCAATATTACTTTGCGTTCTGCTATTGCTCGAGCTAAACTCACCTCAACATTATCCCAAGTTTTCAAGTCTCTTCTAGAAGCTAATCAACCGTTTCCAAATTTTTTTTACAGTCTGGCCCTAGAAGGAGTGCCAAGACGGGTTGATTATGAGTGTACACACTTATGATTAACTTTGATGTGGTGGTGGTGGTGTTAATTGCGGGTCATTGGGTTGTGGAAAGATGAAGGCGGCTGCTTAAAAGGTCATTCTGGGGTTCAGGTCTGAAAGTGCCACAAAGGACATTGTGCACAAAGTCCCATGGAAAGATTCTAGCATTCGGTGATGACATTGCTTCAGCTCTTTCATCAGTGTCAAGGCCACGTTTCTCCACACTCGCCGATAACAGAAATTCGTTATTTAAATATGCTCCAACTAGCATTTTTGCCCGGGTGTATATTGCAATAAATCTGAAATATTCAATAAAAAATTTGTTCAGCTCATGATTATTAATGAGGGGGGGGTTGCCCATGTGGAGTGACGTCACCCACTTATGGTTATTGGGGAGGGGTGCGGCATGTGGAGTGCACGACCTTGTGCGTTAGTTTAAATTTCCACGCATGCATGAATATTAATGAAGGGGGGGGGGGGGGTCTCTTTTGCAGTGACGTCACGCACGAATGTAGCACTGTGTTGCTTAGATTTATTTTTTTGCGTCACTTTCTATAAAGAAACATTATATTTGAAGCGACTTTGCGTAATAAATTATTTAATTTAACTCGACCTTCCTCTGCGTTGTGAAAATCCACTCATGAATACTAATGAGGGGGGTGGGCCTCATATGGAGTGACGTCACACGGGGGGGTGGGCCTCATGTGGAGTGACGTCACACATAGGACGGACAGACATTTCTGGGTGATTATAGTAGGTAATTGCACAGACGGGCAAAATTAATCAACACATATTTTAAACATCAAACCAATGTATTTTGAAACAAATAATGAAATGTCGCCTTTGGTTGCGGTACGGATGTGTTGTGAAAATGTATAAATCAAGGAAGTTGCAGATATTTGATAAATCACCCTTCATTCTGAATTTAGTTTTTCGAAAATTTAAGGAAACTAAATGAGAGATTAGAAAATGATGACAGTTTCTCACACATTCTTAGACTGCATACAAGTTTCCACTGGTGGTTAAAACAGGTCCAAAATAAAATAAATTTACCGTTGTGAAATATTTATATTCCGAACATACATTATTCAAATATTCAAAAGTGGTAAAAAAAATAAAAGTGTTTATTTTAGACCTGTTTTAACCACCCGTGAATATACTTTTGCATGTAAGGTGCAAGAACACGTCAGAAACTCACATAATAGTCCAACCTCTCAATGTTTGTCGTGACAAACGTACAATATTGAAAAAAAAATGTGCACAAAATAAAAGTGTTAGTCATTAAAAAAAAGTTAACATTTCCCAAAAAAAACCAACATGGAGAAGAACGAGACTGTTGCTGATAACCCACATGCTTATATATTTATTTCCATTATGGAACTCAACTTTCCAAATCATGCAAAGCCACTGGGGCCCCTCCTTTCGATCTCCACCATCCCCTTCACTTGTCAGCCCTGCCTTTGCCCTCCTCTTCGCCCTCGTGACCTCGGCAGTGCTCACAGCCTTCATCCCATTCTCCGCCGTTGTCCCTCACGATCTCCACCTCGAGGCGGCCCACGTACAGCGTCACAGCCGTGAGCCACAAGACGGTCAGCGTGAGGACCCCGACCGTGTTGAGCACCACGGCTGACGTCGACAGCATCATCGCTCGCCGCAGCACCGCTATGTTGGCCATGTGCGAGGCTGTGCCGTACGAGATGCAGAGCCCGCCCAAGATAAAAAACCCTGTGGAGGATAAAAACGCATTTCACATCTACGTCCGTGACAATTCACCGAGTGTTGACGGCCTGAAGATAATTGAAGTGAACTAGAACACTTGTGTGAAATGTCACCGTTTTTAAGTCTACCAAAAGACACCACAATCTTCCACACTTGTGCGCATACATTCGCCTAAATATACTCAGATGCACGCACTGACAAGCTCACTTGCACTCGCGTATATTTACGTACAGTAAATATACGCGAGTACATACAATTACACATACCCATGTACAAATGCTTAAATATTATGGGTGTAACAATAAATCGCTTCATCAATTAAAAGCTTGTGCTCAAACTTTATGGATCGAATTGCAAATATATACAACTTGGGCGTACAGATGCTTAAAGTTATATATCTATACAGGACTGTATACAATTAGACCAGCCATATGAAGTGAGTGGGTGCCTTTTTCGTGCCTCAAATAAAGACATCTGCATGTCCGTTTCATATGCAGTGATGTATCTTCTTACATTACTGGTGTCCTGCAAAACCAGGTGATGACTATAATCTGGCCAAATAACACAGTGCTTCGTTTGCCTCCCTCAAGTGCCAATGAGTGGTTATCAGTGTTATCTGCTGCCCTCTCTTCTGTTTCCATGAAGTTACCGGTGTTCCATACATAACCCACTTTCCAGGTTGTTTAATAATGTTACATTTTGATGGAGTGAAATTTAAACAACTGCATTGCACAAAGCTGCAACATCTGTAAACACACAGGCACAGAGATAAAAAAAATTCTGCCAATGGATGAGTGTTTCTATATGTGGTTCAAAACTGGAGCACGTGGTGAAAATCCATGCATGCAAAGGGGGGCAACATTCCATCCTGTGTGGACAGGGCAGATTACATCAGTCCGCACTTTTCTGGACTGCTTTCTCCTGGAAAACCAGGGACTAGCACCCCGACGCCCACGGGAAGGAAATATCGTAACATTTGTGCAATCCACGAACCCTTGCCTTTATAGTGCTGGATTATAGGTGTTGCACCACCACCATGACTAATGACTAACAGTAAGTATTTCTGAGGTGGCGGGGAAGCTGTGCTAGCACCAATACATACTTGGGTCAGAATCCAGGCACCCATCTGTAATTAAACTGGACTCTCAAGTTTAGTTGATGTTCTCAGCCAGGTTCAACATGACACCACAAAAACCCTTTCACATAAAATGTTGTTCTGCACATATGGCACATTTTTAGCTCTGAGAATAAAAAAATATCAGCTTGACTCATACGATGAATGGATGAAAAAGTGTTGCCCCATAGTTTGCAGACCAGTGGTCACCTAAAGAGGGATTCCAGAGATAGCTCTATGGTATAAAATTAAGGGGAATTTTCTAATATGGTAGGGTTGCACTGCTCTGCAAGAGATCCAATTGAAGACTAAGTTTAGTGATATAATGCGATAGTTTAATCGTAATAAAATTGTGGAGAAATACTGAAATATGAAAATAGAGAATGCATTGCTGGCACTGACAAAGGACACTTACCATAGGCAGCCTCCCTCCCCATGTCGCTTTGCACAAAGGCGATTATTCCAATGCCAGTGGCTAAAAGACCATTCCTCAGCCAAGACAGGTACCCTGATAGGAAATGTATAAAGTTAACATTAAAAAATCCAAACAATAATGGTGTAAAGTAATCGACTGTAGTAGCAATGAAATACATTATAACGTACATAAACTCATGACTCACATCAATACCAGTAAAAACTAATAAAATAAATGTAGGGGAAAAATGCATTATTTCCCAGGTGTGTCTTTTATTAACATTGGCTTCTGCTATTTCGTCTGTTACTTGGTTTGCCAACAACACGTAAAAAATATGAAGTAGCACAGTATTTGATGCATTACACATTCAACAACATATACTTTAAAGTCATATAATGAGTAAGCTTAAGAGCCTTACCAGTTTCCTGTGCTTTCCTCATCATCTGCAAGACATTAGATCATGTTTCAGAATGTGTAAATGTTACGAAATGTGGAGTTTCAGTGCAATTATATCCATGTTCAGCATGTGCATCATCATACAAATTCTGACTTTAACGTAATCCAGGATTAATCCTTTAAACGACGCCATGTGTATTTTTCCACTTGTGTAACATTTAATTATGCAATTTATAAATCACATTTGTGGTTCATCTGTAATGCACTTCATCTCATTTTTGGCACAGGACAATAAAGGCAAGTGAGTGGATTCCCACTCAAACAGTGCTCACTTTTTTCCCCGTTTACAGCCCTGAGCCAGTGGTTAACATTTAAAAATCCTATGGCAGGGAAAGATTGATCCATAAGGTAACCACTGATGACTTCTCACACAGTGCTACTCATTTTACAGTATTGCCCCGAGGCGTCGAGTTCAAGTTCCACGCGGAGATTAATGCAGAACTTTATCCTTTCAAAGTCGATCAAATAAGTGCAGCACATTGAGGGAAGTCAACAGTTTCGATTTCAAGCTTTCGTGACTGCAGGGATTCATCTTCTTGGTTCTTTCGGTAAAGTCACGTAGAATAGAAATAATAAAATAAATTATTTTGTCAAGGCGCTCTTCCTCCTCCCTCCCAGCTTAAATAGACGCTCCAAGCCTGGGGTGTGTCATTCAGACTCTGTCTTCTTGACAGACCTGTTCTTCACCTGAGGACGGCTGCTTGCGTTGTGGCCGAAACGTCGTGAGAATTATTTTATTATGTTTTATTTTTTATTATTTTATTATTTCCATTCTACGTGACTTTACCGAAAGAACCAAGAAGTCAACAGTTGTTCAACACATTTCCTGCTCTGTACTCAACATGGGCTGTAACCCACCATATTTTAGATTTCTTTTTTAAAACAACAATGTATCATAAACACACAAGGGACTCTGTGTTGGCAATGGTGCACAAGAACAAGTGAAATAACTCACCAGTTCGTCATTTACACTGCTTTATAAAATAAACATACTATGTGTCCTTAAATAGGCTGATGTTATAGGCAATGACCCTTTTTTTAGAACAGAAATTGGTGATGTCATTTAACATAGTGGTGCCCTGAGAACACTAGGACATTGTTATAAAGTTTAAAATGTACACTTTGAATTTACTTTGAAGAGCTTTCTTTACTTTACGCCAGAACCACCTATGAAATTGTTGAAAAAGGCTCTGACCGTGCTTGCACATTCATCACCCAACCCTGACGAGTCTCTCGCCCAAATGATGATTCCACCAGTTCATCACACAAATATATTTTACTCAAACACCACTGAGGATTAATTCAGGAGCTAACCATGCCCTTGTGGATCCAGAGCATCAATAATGCTCTCCAAATCTTCAACGACCACTCACCAGCCTCTCATGGACACAAATGACGGCAAGCCCCGCTAATCGACAGACATGGTAGATCTACCCCATGTGCATGTGAGCACAGGTTATCATCAATCATGCCCTTCCATATCTTCAACCAACACCGTCCCAGTCTCTCACTCACAGAACGGCAAAGCTGTTTCTGCTGATACTAGACCATGACGAACAAGTATAACCCGTAAAAACAAAGTGTTTCACTATAAATCCTTTATATGCGTGGCGGCTAGAGTCATCTCGTCCTCTGGCTTGAGATGGCTGCCACCTATGGGTCAGATGATTGCATGGCAGCATTAAGCAATTGGTAATGAAATATATTTTTGTCCTAAAAAGTGTAAAATTTTGGAAAAAAAATTTCACGAACATTTATTGTCACGTACACCGAGTCTGTGTGGAAAAAAATCAGCTCGATTGGATCACGGGAAGTGGGTTAAAAAACGACCGAAAGATTTGCACGGTCCTAAGCAAGCAAGCAAGTTAACTTAATATAAAGTATTTAAAAAGACCCCCAACACCAAAAAACTATACACAAAGCGAAAAAAACACAATTCAAAGAAATGGAGCTCAAAATCCCCTCTTACAAATGCGTCTGCCCGGTCCAGCTCGCTGCTGCCCCGCGCCTCTGTCCTCTGCCCGGGGTTGGCTCCCTGAAGTCCCGGTCCATCTCCTTGTCCCTGCAGGTTTCGCCTGGCCCCGTAGTGCGTCCCCGTGTGTAGCCCCCGGCTCTCCCTGCGGGGTCCGACCTCCGGTAGCGGCACCCGAACAGGGCCAGTGGTGAAGCCGACGTACAGGCCGCGTGCGCCCCGGGCTTGCCTAGTAACCCTACCGAGATCGGGCCACCGTACCCGGCAGGGTCCCCTTACAGACGCAAGGTGGCCACAGACGCCGGGCTCCCGGTCTTGTCTAGAAACCCTTCCGAGGACGCTCAACAACCATCCCCGGCATGCCTCTGTAGCAGATGACGGCCTCGTACCGAGAGTGAACCCTTGCCTGTAAATCCCAGCGAGGACGGGCAGCCAAGACGTGCTCTGCGCGCCAGTTTCAACACCCATCCCGGCCCCCCTTTCTTGCCTAGAAACCCTACCGAGGACGGGCCACCATCCCGGGCAGGTCTCCCCGGCAGGGCGGGGTGGTCCGGGCCCGCCGATCACGCGTCTCAAGGCGGCGGGGAGACGCGGCATTGCCAGCCTTGTAGACATCTCTTTCTGTCCCACTGGCTATCTTTCTTCCCCCTTGTCGGTGTGTTTGTGTGTCTCCGTCAGTCTCTCTGTCCGTGTGTTGTGTCTGCTTGCATGGCCACAGTGTGGCGATGTTAATCGCAGCGAAGACCTTTCACCGTTGGGTTTTGACCCCGGGGTTTTCCGGCGTGTTCTGACGTCTACAAATCTTTTTTTTTATTACACGCTGTTATTTAACTCACTTCGTATAGCTATGTCATACTGATGAAAACACTATATTCTATCATAAAAAATCTAAAACGTATTTTTAAAACTTTTTACACGCTTTTATTTAACTTAATGTATGTGTTGTCGTATCCAAAAATCTTGTAACTCAATTTCAACCGTTTTCACAATGTCGTGTCGACTGCAAACTTCGTATAGCTATGTCATAATGATGACAAGACAATATTCTATCATAAAAAAATAAAAATATATATTTTAAACAATATTTTTTACGGCTCTAATTGTCCACGCTCAACTCACGTTGCCTGTAAATCACCACGTGGTCCCTGACGTCACGGCAAGCCTCGGGGAGCCACGCCCAGGGGCGGGGCATGTGGAAGGAGGGGAGGGGCGATGGGGGAAGGGGGCAGGGGGAGGGGCAGCTCGGACAGTACATTTCATTAAAGCGTGTTTTTAAAAAAAGTTTTAAAAATAATGTTATTCTTTCACGACTCGCAACGTCAACGTGCTTTGAATGTCCGTCCGCCCATATCTTCTTCCCTCCAGCCAGCAAAACTTTAAAATATATATGCAAAATACCTATTGTTTTTTTTCTTCCAGAATACGTTCGGATGTTTGACTAATTAGTTCCATGGATTATTGCTTTAACAATATCTTTCCAGCAGCTTTTTTATTTCTCAAGTTATATGGGGTTTATTTGGTTCATAATTATGTATGTAGCATCATTTGCTCATATTATTCCTTCAATTTATTTTCGTGCAAGAAATTGCCAGTCTTTGGGGCCGTCCATAAATGACGTCACGCACCTAGGGGGGGGGGGTCAGACATTTGTGACGATGTGTGACGAGTGGGGGGGGTTTGAGAAATGTGACGTCACATCAAAATGCACAACTTTAAATAAATATAAACAATACGTTATGCTTAATCAAATAGACTTTTTAATAAATGTTTTCTCTTATAACATCAGAGTGCAGCGCCACATTAAATACGCACAACAATGACAATAGTTTGGAGATATTTGAAGCATGTTTACATTTTTTTTGGGGGGGGCAGAGCTTTGTGACGTCATATTTGAGGGGTGGGGGTCTGACCTTTTGTGACGCCGTGTGACGAGGGGGGGGGTCAAAAATCGTCCAAAATCGCGTGACGTCATCTATGGACGGCGCCTTTCTGGTGGACTTTTAAACATTAATTCACTTCACTTGAAAATGTGTCACTTTGTCATCATCATCATCCAGCAGTGGATTGAAAAGGGACTCATGGTTATTTAAGCAATTACTCCTTGGCAAAAATTCAAAACATCACAGTGTTACGTGGTTGCGGGTTTACCCTGTCGCTACGTAGACGTTTAATTTCGTGGAAGAGTTCATTCTTAAAACTGATTTGGCTGGGCCACCCTTTTTGACGCAGCGGTCGATGCGCAATTAACGAGAGCCCCTGAATTGTTGTTACAGCACGTGGCATTCACGACTTAAAACACATTGTCCTGCGGAGGGAGCTGGTAGGAACGTTGGGTTGCTCGGTCAATGGCCTGCAGGGTCAACGGCGGCGTGGTGTATTCCGCAAATATGTCCGACTGTGAGGGCGGGCACAAGCCGGCGTGAGTAGGTTAAACGTTGAGTTTTATAAGGGCACCACGGGGTGACCAGCCCCTCCCCACCCAGCCCCACCCCTCCCACCCCCCACCCCTCCCCACCCAGCCCCTCCCCATTCTCCCCACCCAGCCCCTCCCCACCCAGCCCCTCCCCACCCTCCCCACCCAGCCCCTCCCCACCCTCCCCTCCCCACCCAGCCCCACCCTCCCCACCCTCCCCTCCCCACCCAGCCCCACCCCTCCCATTTTTGGATGCACGACGGACGGACGGACACAATAATCCCCTGTGGGCTGATGTAACCAGGAGGTTCCTACCAGTACGAGAGCCCCTGAATTGTTGTTACAGCACGTGGCATTCGCGACATTAATGAACAAAGCGGTTTCGGTCGTCGCCCGTGTACATTCACTTTCGTCTATTCACAAACTCGACAACACCGTGGGGCTGGTGGTGGTGGTGATGGTGGTTGTAGTTGGTGGTGGTGGTGGGGGTCACGGTGGATTCATTGCGCACAGACACAGGACATTTCGCACGCAGACACCACATGTCTGCACGCATAGTGCCGGCGCCCTTCTGCTCGAAACACATTTTAATTATATCGACCTCAGCAGCAGCAGTAGCAGCGCCTTCTTCACAAGCCGCAACACCACACGAAGCCACCCCCAAACACGCCCTACGAGTTGCAATCCCAACCCCGTCCACGAACACGGCCAATGAGACGATCATCCTCGCTGGTGCAGGAGGAGTTGGGGGGAGGATGCTTGGGGACATTTAACTTTTTGAATTAAAGCCCTGTGGCACCATTGAACAATACGCACATCCGCACGCACTCAAGCGCGTTCACGTTGTTTCGCACGTGTCCCAGGCAGGTAAGCGAGTGTGGTTGTAACATTGTGGATTAGCTGACACGTGTCTGGATATTGTGTGTGTCTAAGTTTGAACTTTGTCCTACTTGCAACGTCGCTTTCAGAAGTTTAAAACGTCGCGATGGGTTTTTACGCGAGAATTATTATACCGTGTTGCAATCGCATTGACTGCTGTCATTTAAAAGAAAGCCATGTATATATCGTGATAAGAGTGGTGGAATGGATCAACTTGCGCTATGAACTCGGCTACCCTGTATCCGATCGCCGCCTACGGCTGTGTAACATCGGTGGCGAACGATGTCAGAAACTTGCCACCTCTTGTTCATCCGACACGCGTTGGCGAACGTGGTGAAGTATGGTCACGCTACGACAATAACCACATCGACATTGAACCTGCCCGTGTGCTGGGGCATTTACATAAAAGAGTAGCGCTTTATTCGGAACGAGTTCATTATAAAGGACCGGACTTGTGGCTGCATACTTTTTGCTAGATACATTATAATAGATGTGGACTACTGTAGCACCAGTTGTTAACGAATGTACCTACATTGGACTGGTATATGTGTTCTTTATTGGTATTTTAATGTTATTATACCGTGCTTGCATAAACATATCACGTTAGTATTGCATTGCCCGTATGTTAACACTTTACAATTGCGAATTGTATCCGTTAATTGTTTTGGTAATGTAACAAACCACCAGCTTATTTCGACTCTCAAACACCGCTTTGTTGCGAGGTGGTCATGAGACCGATCGGCAAACAACAAGTGGGTTCGTGAATCCATCTGTGCGGAACCTTTCATAGGTCATCATCGCCTTGTTGTGTGCGTGGTGGTTTTTATGCGGGTTTTGCTCTCAAATAAAAACATGACTTTGGCCAAACATCCCAACAACCGTATAGCAGCATCCCAACTTTGGCATGGGGTTGGAGGCAGTTTCTACTACCAACTTTGGCTCGACAATGGCCCAACTTCTCCGTGTTTGTTGAGAACGGTAGACACGTGGGAAACAGTCTTGAGACTCGGTTGAGGCTTTCCTCGATAATATAATTAATTGAAATGCACAACTGCCCCAAGTTATGCAGACCTGTTTTGCAACCACGAAAATTTAAACTAATAAAAAACAAAGTCATGCACGCAACTGTTGGCCAAACATTGCGTTGAAGCCGTAAACATTTTACTCTATTCTGGTACAGTACTGAATGGTGCACCCTGCAGCTGATTGATATTTTTAGACATAGTGACAATATTCAGGTAATATTTGCAAACATACTAACTTCAGATCTTTGTCAATCCACTGCTGGATGAAGGCCTTGTCCACGCTGTGCTGGTTGTGGGAGATTGTTACCATATTTCACTTAACACTGGGCACATTAATTGATTTAATGTCCGCATATGCTGAAGTGGTATCTTCAGGATAAATTTCAGACGCACCTTGCTAAATGCCCTTTAGTCTGTCGAATTACACACCTGAAGTGGAATCGTCCCTTGCCGCAGTCGTCATATAAAGCAGTACAAGGTAAAGTTAAACCATCTTCTTGGTTCTTTCGGTAAAGTCACGTAGAAGGGAAGTAATAAAATAATAAAAATAAAACATAATAAAATAATTCTCACGACGTTTCGGCCACACCGCAAGCAGCCGTCCTCGAGGTACGGGAAGAGCCGTGACCGAAACGTCGTGAGAATTATTTTATTATGTTTTATTTTTATTATTTTATTACTTCCCTTCTACGTGACTTTACCGAAAGAACCAAGAAGATGAATCCCTGCAGTCACGAAAGCTTTAAATCGAAAGTTAAACCACTTAATGCGCTTTATGCAACAAGGTCTAAATATCAAGACATCTGCTTCCAGTCTAAATGTATGAATATTTTATTTTTCTCACGCAAGTGTTCTATCTACAGGAATATAATGCATTCGCCTCCCACTCCCCCAGCGATTGCATGAATTGTCACAATTTTGGGGTCACGATTCGAAGGATTGGTTGATTGTATTCTCGTTTTGACCATCTTGTTTGTATAGTTTCTTGATTCTCACCCCATCTTGTTTGGACCAATTTATATTGCTCCATTTTCCGAAATGTAACATTTGCAAATGATTTGCATAAATTATTTATCAAATTGACACGTTTTAATGCATGTATTTCAAGCGTAAGAATCAATTTGAATGTAATAATATATACATTATTGCATGCTAGGCTTTACTGTAATATTGCATCATTTTGATACCAAGGAAATTCCACAACATTTGAAAATCATCCCACAAATACACAATGTGTGTTATTTTGAGAGTAATTCTAGTTTTAGAAAAACATGGATTTTAAGGAATAAGGCAATATTGTGATGCATACATGGAACTGAATGCACCATCTCAGCGTGGATGAAAAAGTCTCCATCTGAGTATCTCTGACACAATTGGATTTATGATTAAAGTACTGTACATTATTTCTTCCTTGGAAAAAAAAAACGCGGGCCCATATCTATCTCAATTAAAATCCCAATTCATCGGCATACTAATTCCCAAGCGAAAAATACAACTTCTTGGTTCTTTCGGTAAAGTCACGTAGAAGGGAAGTAATAAAATAATAAAAATAAAACATAATAAAATAAAATAATTCTCACGACGTTTCGGCTACAACGCAAGCAGCCGTCTTCAGGTGAAGAATTCTTCACCTACAACGCAAGCAGCCGTCTTCAGGTGAAGAATTCTTCACCTGAAGACGGCTGCTTGCGTTGTAGCCGAAACGTCGTGAGAATTATTTTATTTTATTATGTTTTATTTTTATTATTTTATTACTTCCCTTCTACGTGACTTTACCGAAAGAACCAAGAAGATGAATCCCTGCAGTCACGAAAGCTTTAAATCGAAACGAAAAATACAAGCTTCAAATATCACTTATGATAACCTCACATCTTTACAGCGTCTGAAATCTACGTCCAAAATTCCTGCGATTCTCCTCCAGTGATTGAGGAGGCCCGTGAAGAAGGACCCTGGAGCAGAGACGATGTCCACCCCACTCACAGACCAGGAGCGACGCAAGCAGATCAGCGTTCGGGGGATCGTGGAGGTGGAGAACGTCGGGGAGGTGAAGCGGAATTTCAACCGCCACCTGCATTTCACGCTGGTGAAGGATCGCAACGTTGCCACCCCCAGGGACTACTACTTTGCCCTCGCCCACTCCGTGCGGGACCTGCTGGTCGGGCGATGGATCCGCACGCAGCAGTACTACCACGAGAAGGACCCCAAGGTGAGGGAAGGAGGACGAAACAGCCATTCATTCGGTCGCTCGCTCGTTCCGTCACCCGTTTTCTTAGATGTGAGAATGACATCAAGGTACGGGAAGAGCTGTGGGGTAGAAATCACAACCTATGTATTCATTCATCATTTATACAATTGACCATTTGGTTTGTTAAAGTTTAGTGGAATCTCCTACTACGACAATTACACCAAGGTGAGAGAAGAGTGACGTATGATTGTAGAATGCACAAACATGCATTTCACTAGCTCATTCGTGTAACCGTTCGTTTGTGCATGTGATTTGACAATAAGGTGTGGGAAGAGATGTGATGCGAGCTGCACATAAATTAACAAATGCATTCATTTGTTCAGGTTTATTTAATTTCCCCCTCTTAGACATAATGATACCAACATGATGGACGTGGTGCAAAATGGACACCCATTAATACTTTTAATCATTCATTTATTTGATAAAATCTCATTTAATAGCTTATCTATAGAATGGCACCAAGGTGAATAGAATAGGTGTGTGACAAGGTGGATACTTATTCATTAATTCACTCATTCATTTGTTCAAGTCATATTTATCATTTTTATTATGAAAATGACACCAAGGCGAGGAAAGGAAAACCTGGTGTGTGAGAGATGCACACCTGTTCTTTAACAATTTGACGTGACATTTTATTATGAAAGGTGAAGATGCATGGGTCAGATGCACTCTCCATTCAGTCGTGCGTATTTTAATTCTGTTTGAAAAAAAGACTTCAAAGACCTTGAGGTAGGAGAGGAAGCATCGTACCGAATACACACTCATCCAATTGTTCATTCGTCTTTCATTTCATTTCTGTACATCACTCATATGTCCTTGAACATCACGTCCGTTTTTTTCTTGGCCTCCCTTGCAAAATAAGGCAAGTTCTCTCAAGGGGCCCTTACCTGCAACTGGACAAATCTGTTCTTCCAACAGGACAAAGGCTCTGTTCGCTTTCGAGACGTATGGTTGTGTTAGGCTACATTAAGCAGACCTGAGTTACTGAACAATAGTCCATTGTGAATTGCAAATGAAATAAAAGTCACGGTGACAAATGCCAGCGGTACAGCGAAATGAAACACTGAAAAAAAAAGGGACTGTCACCAGAAAAGTTGGCCACATCAATTCTGCCTGCAGTTAATTGATGAGCGTGTTTGCTCCTCCAGCTTACTAATTAACGTTGGCGGCACGTGTGCTTGGGCACGCCCGTCGTATTTTATCACAGCGGTCACACCTTTGTCGCGAAATCGCTTTCCTAAAGGTACAGCAGATTTTATATCAATCAAGGTTTGCACTTAATTGTGTTTTACAATATATGGCGCATACAGCATCTGTGTATTCATTCTCCCACGAATACTGAAATAAAAACCTCAGTTCGTCAATAACACCGTGACTTTAAACTGAAAAATATATATGTTGTGACGTTTCAGACGGTGGCCCTTCTTCATAGGACATTGAAAAAGGGTTGTAGGCTGAAATGTCGCCTACAATATATATTATTTCCTTTTTAAGGCTGAAATAATAACAGCGCAGTGTGTCTTGCGTTCAGCCAGTTCCACTTTGTCATCAAGCGTGCAGCCCACAGGTGTATAGAAGTGCCCTGGCATGCACATCACCACCACCACCACTCACTCATTGGACATTTATTTTAAGGCAGTATTTTTCATCATGCCACATGCACAAAGTTGAATCGTTATTCACAAAGTAAAACACGTTAACTTGAGATGAAAACAAATATCTACCGTTTATATTCAAATAAACTGAATAACCTACATCATCCCAAAACTGAATCGCACCTTTCTTCACACTGGCAATCGTGTACGATGATGCATGCATTCTTCTTACCCAATCCATCAAGTGTATCTTTATTCCAACTTAAAAATTATCCCGTGCATATTAAATGCAATTTCTGTGTTCGACAAAACGTGAAAAGGAATAGACGTGTACATGTGTCTCCTGCCTTTGGAAGGTCGTCTACGTTTTTATCTGTCCTATCAATGTTCCGAATCACTTTCTTATTTAATTCGCATTAATGGCACGTACTTTAATTAAAAAGTGAATTGCAAAACCCTCGCGGTAATTGCATAGAAAAATAAATAAATCCTAAATCATATATCCACGGCTTTTACACCCACCGTATTAGCGACTGTGAATACTCACGATGCATTACGTGCGTTTACTATCCTGCACATCAGATGGCAACGTGCAGGTTACAAACATGTTATTTAGGGCAATATATACCAGTGTACTATTCATGTGCAGATTCAAAGTGTTGCTGGCTCTGTTGTATTCCAGTGAGTTCAGCGAGCTGCAGACCCCGACATTGTTAAAGCCATTAGCCAAATGGAATGTTTCGGGTGAGTTCTGTGAGCATGATTTTAAATCAAATCATTGGGAGACTGGTGGAGGGGGGTTGGAGGGAGGAGGTGGTGTGCATATTTTCTAGTGGCTGAAAAACCCAAAGTCAAAGCAAACTACTGTACCCCCATCCATTGCAGGATTTTTTTTATTTTTTTAATTTTTTTCTGCAAGGTGTGGCCCTGATGGTTGGGAATGTGATGAAACACTTTACTCTCAATTGACGTGCGTATGAAAATACAGTTCCGTCCATCGCTCTCGTGCATCGAGCCTACGATCTCTTTAAAAAAAAAATGTTCTGCCTTTTGAATGCATCAAAGAAACTAAAATATTTGAATGCCCGTGCAGATGCCTCGAATGTACGTTCGCTCAAGAAGCCGATCGTGGCGGAGTACCGTAAAGATTCATCAGCCTCTCTGATGTTGAAATACGGTACTCTTTGAGTGTGTGCCCTCTCATCGTCCAGCCTTTGTTTTGACTGTAAACAACTAAACAATCAATCCCATTCACGATTCACGAGTGCACGGAGCGGACTCCCAAATTATCTTCGAATATGAAACTCGAGGCAATGAATGGACGCCCAGTGTCCTCGTTTTTTTTTCGCTCAATCAGTCCAATTAGTGCTCGCCTCGCTGCTACTCAGGGGGGGGTGGGGGCGTAAACGCGAGAGACGGCGAAGTTCGCGCTTGGCTGAGTGACCTTGAATGTAATTTACCCTGGGCGGTAAGGTCAAAGGTTACACAATAGGCATGTGCACTGTGTGCAAAATAACTTGAGGGGGAACCGGGAGGGAGGGGACAAGGTTATCCCAAAGTTGCATTTGAATGTGTTCATTAAACACAACAGAAGCTTGCGACGCACTCTTCAGAATATTTCGCTGCCAATTATTATTCAGATGGCTGTCATTTTTCATGAAAATGCTTCGCTGGTCATATTCCGAATAATCCCTGCATTTACAAGCCAGGTTGGAGAACCAACTGAGGCTGCATGGTAAATCTGTTTTGTGTGGGAAGATCTGTGTGGAATATCCATGCACCATTTAAACACACGCATTCGATGGACCTCCATTACAATTTATATAACTTTTTTTCTCACACTTGCAAAATTCTTTTGTATTTGCACCGCATACGATGTATATATAGACATCAATACGCAATGCACTCTTCCCACTGAAGATTGTATTGTATCTGTGGATATGGATAATGTTCTTCGTACAGTACTTTAATTAGCTTTCATAGCGCAACATCTTATCGTGTACAAAGTCATCGTTATCAGCCGTGATTTATCCATTGCTGGACAGAGGGCCTCCCCAAAGCCTTCGCCATCTCTCTGGGTCTCCCAATGGACACAATCCATAGATCTCCTGCCCATGAGCCTATTTCACTGATGAAATCGGAGTAGCAGGCGACTGAGAAGCGTTGAGGAAAATAGATGTGACCATACTTCACCACGCTCGCCAGTGGGTGGCTGGGTGAACCTGCTTCCCTGATATGGGTGTGCACTACTCATACCCACGTGGGGTCAATATGAAGTTAGTTTACATCTTATGTTTACTGCAGTGGTTCTAAACCATTTTAGTCTGGCTTGTCCCTGCACCCTTACTAAGTCTCCAGTACACAGAGAGCTTACATGTTCACACACCTCGTTATCACCATCTACAGGCCCGGAGCCTGCACTCCCCACTGAAAGGCTTTCGATGACGCGCGGGACACTGTTTACCTTCTGTGTGCAGATAGCAAATCAGGGATCCTGTGTGAACAACTGAAAGTGTCTCATTTTTCTTCGAGTATTGTTCGCCTGCTAGGAAATCCAAATGGACCTCATTACCGAGAGACATCCACAAAGATCTGGAAAGCCCACATTATTTGACTCATTCGTTGAAAAACAATTACTTGGCCACTCACTAAAGTTGTGCAACGGTGACGGGCATTATGGGTAGGTTACCTCAACTGCACCTTCACCACTGCCAAACGCAGGGTGTGGCAGCAGGCACCCTTGGTCTTGTGTCGGCGTGTTCACATTTTTCTGTCTCTCTGTTCACATTTTTCCGTCTCTCTCTTCTCCCCCCTGAAGTAATACACTATCGAGCAGGGGTGCAGTGATGCGCTAAGACATCAATTGTTTTTTAAGGCCACAATACATGCAATCGTATCGCAATGTTTAAGCATCGACATTGCGTTTTTTTGTTACTTTGTTTACATTATATTCAATAGGTAAAAACGAAAACTGTTTTTATTAAAAAAAAAACTATTTTATTTTACCAGCTAAGGCCCACGGAGCTATATGGCTCTTTTTCAGAAGCAACCGGGCGAAATGGCTTAACACGTGGACATTTATAACAGCCAAATACTCAAAGAGCATGTTTCTAATGTGGAGGGAAAAACCAGAGGACCCGGAGACAAATCCATGCAACCATGGGGAAAACCTGCAAACTCCAAATATCCAGGCGTCAGGATCTGGATCGAATCCACCACCTCCTGATACCAGGCGAGGTAGTTAACATCTCACCGCCGCCCCAGCCACCAAAGGCAGTGTTCAATAAAAATCAAACCTTGACACTCGGTTGAGGAATGCATGAGGACACCTTTCATTGGTGCGAAGGGGCTCCATGCACCACATATCACGCTCGGAGTTCGTGGACTCTTCTGCAGTTAAATATCTCGTCGTTGAATGATCATTGACAAAATATAAGGGTGCTCTAAGAAGAGCAAAAGGAAGGGGGAAATAAATAGGGTGGTATAAAACCAGCGAGGCGCAGCGTCCGTGGGGAGCTGTCAGCCGAGTGTTGCAATTGATTGACACGTTTCCGTCTTGTACGTCAATAAAACTTTCGTCTTTTTTTCTTTTGGCGATGGACGCGTTGAATTTTCACAGCTGTCTCTCTTTCCGCTATAAGAGTATAAATCTCGAAAATTACGGTCCCGTATGTGTGAGTAAAAGCCAGGCGTATTGTCAGCATGGTTCGCCTGTTGAATTGCTACCTTTAAAACGCTTTACAGTTCTGAATTGCATCGGGGAATCGTTTTGGCAGTACGATCCAGAGCATTGCAACAAAATAGTTGGTGGATCATGCAGAGATTTGCGAAACTCCCAAATCTGATGGGTTGTAAGGCGGCTTGGAGAAGGCGGTGCAGAGCATGTGTTGTGAACCCATCTGTGCAGGTCATTTCGAGTGTTAGCCCCCTTGTATCGTTTTTTTTTAGCTTCTCCGGGTTTCGATTTAAAGCTTTCGTGACTGCAGGGATTCATCTTCTTGGTTCTTTCGGTAAAGTCACGTAGAAGGGAAGTAATGAGAACTATTTTATTATGTTTTATTTTTATTATTTTATTACTTCCCTTCTACGTGACTTTACCGAAAGAACCAAGAAGATGAATCCTCCGGGTTGGCTCCTGAACATTGAAAACACTCGCAAATGGAATTGTACAAAGAATCCCGATGGAGTACCCTCCCGAAGAACACCGAGCGCAACATGCTGTCCACTGCGTCACTGCCTCCCCCCTCCTGCAAATAACTTACATAGCATGGTACTGTATTTGTGTGTCGTCAGATAAACTTTAACCAAGCGAAAGTGTGTTGAGAAATGCACGTCTCTTTTGCTCGAGAGAGCCGGGGTGAGCGATTTAAAGGAAGACTACAGATGTGAAGCACAGCACTGCTGTCCCACTTTACACTTTGAGGCAAACGATGCCGTATCAGTGCAGCGTGGATTTGCGTCGCGTTTAAATGCCCAGCGTTGGTCTCAAGGACCCCGTACAAAAAAGCGGGACGTGCACGTTAGAGGGACGACAAGCGATTTATATTTTTAACGCAAGGTGCCATGGCGTGGAGGAGTAGAAGCGTGTGTGCATGTGGGGAGCGGTGGTGTAGCGGTTAGCGCGCTGCGCTACGAACCCGGCGACCCGAGTTCGATTCCCGCTCACGGCCAACACCAGTGACGATTATCTGAACCGGTCCCGGGCCTCCCCTAGGTCGACTCAGCCTCAAACGAGTACCTGGTGCGGTGTGTAAACATCACCACTAGGGAGACAAAGGTGGTGGGGCGTGGTGCTGGCCACCCACCCCCTCGTGTACCGTTGCGGCCTTCATAGGTGCTTGCTAGCAACACTTGCCCCTACAGTCTGTTAAGGCTATACAGGGGATCTTTTATCTTTGTGCATGTGTGCGTGCGTACGTGCGTGCGTGTGTACGTGCATACATGTGTGCGTGTATGCGTGCGTACATGTGTGCGTGCGTGTGTGCGTGCGCGATTATGCTTGCGCTGCAGAACTAGCGGTTGTCATCTCTGCAGGTACACCTCTCCCCCTTGTTCACCAGCGGTCGCGTTTGGTTCCCGCCGTGGACCGACAAGCGCGGTGACCCGCCCCTTGCCTCCGAGGAGAGGCTTTCAGATGTTCCACGCACGTGACCAATGCTCGAGTGCCCTCTGCGCGACATTGCGCAAAGCCACTGAAAATTCGCACATGGTCGTCGTCATCGTTAGTCAGTCAGTCACCCGCCTCGTAACGACGGCGCAGTTGACCCGACCTCGTTAATCAGCGACATTTCGGGCGCTTGGCCTGCTATGAATGCGGCTGCGTGCAGGAACACTGCGTTCCTTCCCGACTGAACGGACTACAGAACGGCCTCGATGCATATTAATTTGCGGTAATATATTTTTTCTGTAATTGTACCGAGCTCCGGCGATACCGTAACACGCCAGAGGGCTCGCCGGGCCCCCATCGGATCGTTAACGGAAAATTAGAAACGAGCGTGTGATACTTTGTTTGTTTTTTAATGCCGTAATGGTTTATGTCAGAGCACTGGGCATCAATCAAAACACCAGGCAGTTAGGGAGGAGTTTTATGAAAGGGTCCCCGTTCTCTGGTTATCAACGACACAGGGACCTTGTCTTCTGCATTTGCGGGGCAGACGTGCGCGCCCAGCCAACGCATTTGGAGTGAAGGATGAACACCCTCCTCCCCCCCCCCATAATAAAAAAAAAACAGACGAATCATGGCTCGTAAATTAAGTGCACATGTCAACAATGCTCATGTTCCCAGGCCGCGTTGGTAAATCTAATCCCGCTCAAATGCACGCCCGTATCTTGTGTGGGTTTTTGTTGTTGTTGTTGTAATATACCCTTCTGAGCGGGAGGGCGGACCTGGGTTCATGGCGGGTTTTAATTTTGAAAAGGTGGAATGTTACTCGGGAAAACCCCGCGTTGCAAGCAAAATGTGACTTTCTTATTCACGTACGCGTGTGTGCATGTTGAACTTTTTTTTCACCGTACATAGCCAACCGTGCTAATCAGAGGAGCGGGGGAAGGATAAGAGACTAAATACAAAAAGCAGTTCTTAAGAAATTAGTTTTCAACTTAGAAACATTTGAACGCATTAATGCAAATCGCATCTCCAGATGTTTCTTTGTTGCCGCGTAGTTAAAATGACAGCTTAGCATTTTACAATGTTAATCTTTAATATTTTATTATCGTCATGCATGTTCTATCCACTGCTGATTGTCGTCCTGCCCGAGCAAGCACCACTTCTCTCACGGTGTTGTGACGCAGCAATCTAACTAGCTCCTGCACAGGAGCCGATTTTTCTGCTCCATCTCCACAGTAGGCATGTTCTGTCCTTTGGCTGCCACTACGTTGTTAGTCTCGACCACCGTCCATCGTCGCTTCTAGAAATGTGGCCTCTGCCCAAGCCCACTTGTCATTGCCATCACTGTGATATCTCTAACCTGCGTTTGTTCCGTGATCCATTGCAAAACCATGACAGACGGTGATGGCTTAGAGAGGCTTTCATCCAACAGTGGATTTGATGATGATGAAAATGTCTCCAATCAGCTTTATTTTCTGCTCACAAAAAACATCAGTTGTTTCGTCTGACGTCCAGCACTTCTTACCGCGTAGGCTCTCAAGGTTGTGCTGCCGCACGTTTCTCCGATGCATTTTTGCGTTCGTACCTCGTGTTGTTCGGCACGATGTCCGACGTTTCGCTACACGTGCCGGGACCTTCGATTCCTCCCGGCGCGTGGTAGTGAGAAACACATCGAAGGGTTGTTGTTTTTTTACCACCTTCTGTGTCCTCACGTGATGTACTGCTGCACGTGGCCAACTGGGAACGCTGAGCAACGTGCGTCGTAAACTCTTGACGCCAAATGGTTCGTTTTTAATGTGTGGCCCATTACCGAAAGAGTTCAACAGTCTTTCACGTACGGTTTAAAATTGGCCTTCCAAATTGATCTGCTCGTTAGGGGCCACTGGACATCGTTGTGCCGTAATGGCAAATCAAGCGTGCTTAAATCTGATATTAGCAGGAACCCAATTTGCAGATTGTCCTGATCCAAAACTTGCTTGCATGGATGTAAAATAACCGATAAAATGTCATGACAGCAGTAATAACAAGGGTATGTATTTATCTGGGAAAGCCTCACGACATATTTTCGGAAAGGTCCTGCTTCAGCATAATTTTGCCATGATGGTGGTTTTTAAATGAGCATTTTGCACATGGGAATAAATGTATGTGTTTATGTTGAACTTCTTTCGCACCATATATAGCCAACCGTGGCAATCGGAGGTGTGGGGGAAGGGCAATGAAACTAAACACAAACAACAGTTCTAAAGAAATAAGCTTTAATTTTAGCTAAATGAGTTTTCAACTTTGAATCGGACGGATGAAGGAAAATCCATCACGCATGCAATGGGATAGCACCAAAATATCCACACACGCACATGTCTACAAACTCTGTTTTGGTACTGCCATCACCTGTTTAGAACACGGTAGGTTTTGGAGTTTCACAAACCTCCATGTGACCCACCAACCCTTGCCTCCTTAAGCTGTCGGGTTGCAAGCGCGGCGCACGACCGTTTCCACGCGCGTCGCAATCAAAACGGTCGATCGTTCGGACGACGACGGGAGAGCCCATCGCTGGCGGTGACACGCTCGCTGACTGACCGCTGCTCTCCCCCCCCCCCCCCCCGCACGCAGCGTGTCTATTACCTGTCGCTGGAGTTCTACATGGGCCGCGCGCTGCAGAACACCATGGTGAACCTGGGCCTGGAGAACACGTGCGACGAGGCCATGTACCAGGTGCGGTGCGCGACACGGGAGTGGAGGGAGGGAATTGACGGAGGGAGGGAGTTGAAGGATGAGTTGAGAGAGGGATGGAGCTGAGGGAGGGAGAGAGTGAGTTGGGGAGAGTGAGTTCGGGGAGGGAGGGAGTCAGTTGAGGGAGGGAATGTCGGCGGTGCACATTAGTCGGGTCATCGCGATCAACGGAGGCTATTTTCTGCCTACGTCCTCGCCACATCCACTCCGATAAAATCTGTGAATGGCGAGACAATCCCCTCAAAACAGAAACGTCTCCATCAGCCACGGGTTATTCGTTTTGCTGCTTCGCTCTGAGTGCAACTGTGCGACCATCGTTGAGATGGACAATGCCGTGGTATTTCGGGTGATCACTTGTTGTGTAACTGTTGATAGATTTTGTATGAGGGTGTGGACACGTACTGCTGGATGAGGGCCTCCTCGTGTCGTGCGTGTGCTATTTTTGACCATACGGTCGGTCAGTGAGGGTTGGTCAAGGTGGGGAGCGTAGACGTGGGAGCGTAGGTGTACGATACAACAGTGGAACTTTCTGCATCGCCCTCTGCTGCCGACAACGTAGCCTCAGACCTCTGACAACCTCTTCTTGGTTCTTTCAGTAAAGTCACGTGGAAGGGAAATAAAAAAATAATGAAAATAAAACATTACATTTTTATTTTATTATGTTTTATTTTTATTATTTTATTATTTCCCTTCCACGTGACTTTACTGAAAGAACCAAGAAGATGAATCCCTGCAGTCACGAAAGCTTTAAATCGAAATGTAACTCTGACAACCTGTTTGAGCAGTTGCCCATCCAAGCCTTATCCAATCTCAAACCTGCTTAGCTTGCAAGATCCAACGAGATTGGGCCCCAATCCCAATGATTTGGCCACAAGCATTAGAATCTATCCAGTGGTTATTTTATTCCTAGTTTAGAATAAGCTCAGATTTGTTTATTAGTGTGTTGATGTTTCTGCTATAATGTAAATGAAATTGAAATGATTTTTCATTTGTAAAATCTACCATCTTTGTTTACATTCGTTATTACAAATATTTGAATGTGTTCATCATTTTTCACGTACTTTGATGACACTTTTGATTTGGGGTGACGTGAGGAGCCTCCTTAATTGAGCGTTGTGTGTGTGTGTGAGTGGCTGATAAATGCGGGGTGTGTGTTGAGGGCAAGTGATCAAGTGCTGCTTGTGATCACCTATCATTATCTTTGTCTTTAATGTGTTGTGCAAGTTGTGTGGGAAGTTCCTAGTACATCGCTTCACCCATCGCTTCACCAATTGTGCTGTGAACCCAGTTACCTTGGTTTGATTACTCGCTACGGCTAACATCCCAATAGATTCAGAAACTTCGATTTAAAGCTTTCGTGACTGCAGGGATTCATCTTCTTGGTTCTTTCGATAAAGTCACGTAGAAGGGAAGTAATTAAATAATACAAATAAAACATAATAAAATTATTCTCACGACGTTTCGGCCACAACGCAAGCAGCCGTCCTCTGTCGCCTCGACGGACCTGGTTTTCACCTGAGGATGGCTGCTTGCGTTGTGGCCGAAACATCGTGAGAATAATTTTATTATGTTTTATTTTTATTATTTTATTACTTCCCTTCTACGTGACTTTACCGAAAGAACCAAGAAGAAGATTCAGAAACTCACGATGGGTAAACATCAGCACTGGGGAGACAAAGGTGACCGGGCTTGGTGCTAATCACACCCACTCCCTTGTTGCACCTTACCAACCTTCATGGTGCTCGCTCGCAGCTCTTGCCCCAACATCCTATGTCGGCAACACGGGGCATCTTTGTCATTTACTTTGCGGGTGTGACCGCGGTCCCTGGTTCTTGTGTCTCCTTGGATCAGCTTGGCCTGGACATTGAGGAGCTGGAGGACTTGGAGGAGGATGCCGGCCTCGGAAATGGAGGTCTTGGTCGCCTTGCTGGTACGCCTGTCTCCCAGTTTTCCCGTTGTGTTTTTAGTATAATAATCATAATAATGTCAACTTGTAGCTCACCGCCGCCAGACAGTATTCGTTCGCTGTTGAAGCGAGAGAACAACTCGGAGGTGCGAGGAACCACAGACAAGCTCCAACAATTATGGCCCAAGCGCTGCAATCCTCTGTATGTTAAGGTGCTATCAGCCAATTAATGAGAGATTACATGTTGGAGGAAACCCAGAGCACCAGGAGATTACCTACTCGTGCGAGGGGGCAACGCTGTACTGCCCTATCCAGGGTACGGGACCTCCACGACACCCGCGGGAATGGAGTTTCACAACATTGGTGCGATCCACCAGCGCTGGATTATAAGCCACGTGCATAGCCACCACTGCCCTACGTAACATTTTTTTTTTTAATATTACCATTGCGCTTTCTTTGTCATGTCTTAAGATTTCCATTCAGAACGCTCGCAACTAGCAGTGCATGACCCTGTGTCAGAGAATGTCCCCCTGAAGATGACATCACATAACTCCTGCTAAAGTCTTTTCAAAAGGTCTCTATACCCGCACTTAGGGGCTCGCTCACCGTTATTTACTCCACAAAGAATTTCGTGTGTCAACAAACCAAAATTGTTCAGTCTCAGAGCCGGAATAAGCCAAATTAAGTGAAAAACAAATTGAGTACGATGGGAATGTTTTGTTGTTGTGTGTGCAGTTATTTGTGACCAAGCTGACCAGTATAACCTCGATCCACCTGAGAACCCAGTTTTTGTCACAAATGGCTAATCCCCGGAGCTAACCACTCCACCACGGTTCCCCACAAGTGCTGTTAGCGAGCACCTTTAAAGGCCTGCACGACACAAGAGGGGGTGGGTGGCCAGCACCACGCCCAGGCGCATTTTTCTCCCAAGTGGCAATGTTTACACTCTATACCAGGTACTCATTTTAGGCTGAGTCGACCTTGGGGAGCCCCAGGACCAGTTCAGGTCATTGTCACTGTTGTTAGCCAGCAGCACGCTAACCACTGCACCACTATTCCTCACAACACAAAGACACACGCACGTAAAATGAATTATTGTAGCACACAGCGTGCGATGTTGCACATTGCATGAGAAACCATCAGTCATTTCATTAACTCCGATTGATACAACCCCATGTGAGCATATTTGGAGAACAACAAAACGCAGCTCATTACTTTCACATTAATTGATCCTCGCCATGTGAAATTGGAGTAGGGAGGAAAGGCAAGCTGGATAGAGCTTGGCTGAGCATGAATGTTAGTGATTGCAAAAGAAATGCCCATTTTAGCCCGTGCTTGCCTTGTGCGTGCCTGTGGCCACAAGGAGTTAATCTGGTGCGAGCGAGTGACGCGCGCCTGTATGTGTGTGCGCGCGTGCGTGAATAAGTTATGTCATGCCTGATACCATCATGTGGGTGCTTCCATCCAGCGGGCTGTCATTTATTTTGACGTAACAGCCTCATGAATAAGGCTTGCAAAAAAAAAATTCCCTTTCTAAAAAAACAATATGCAAATAACTAGACATTTTCTTACAAAGTAAAAAAAATGAACGGAAGATACATTTTTTTTTATGCTAACCGATGCTGCAACGTTGAGTTTACTAGACTTGCAATGCTGAGGTCGCAAGTTCAGTCTCCCGGCGCGGCAGTTGCAACGACGGTGCACGTTTCTTAAATCCCCCTGTCTCACTTGTGGTGGGGTAAAATGTGGGGACTCCCACCTCTCCCGAGGCATTTGGCCACCGTGGAAGAGGAGGCCAAATACCCTTCTAGGTGGGTGCCCCCCTCTCTCGCGCTCCCTCTAGAGGACGCTCTTCCGCCAGCAGTGGCATGAGCGAGCAATTGCAGGGATGCTCCTTGACCCTTTATTATTTTGCTAATCCACCTGAAATCAATTATAATTGGGGTGACCACACACGGCGCATACCACATACAGCCGAACGCCATGGTTTTAATGATACATCGATTATTCAATTTCGTATCGGTTCTCTTAAGCTCACGATGCCTCCCTCAGAGAGCGTAAACAACAATGAAATATATTTTTAATTGGTCTGAATTGTATGCACCGAGTTGATCTGATCTCTACAGCCACCAGAGGCCTGCTATATTCACTCTTTTAAATATCTAACAGCAACAAACATTGACGATTGCCTGTTGATGTAAATAAAGTGCCCGAATTCACAACAATTCACCATATCACATGGTGGGTAACAGTCAATCGTTAAACCACCACCATTCATTGAGCTCTGATTATCGCCCCCTCACCATCCCGTCATGCAACCTGGATGAGGGAGCGGCAACCGAGAGGAGGGAAGGACTGTCGAAGAGGGCATGCCACTTGCGGAGATGGAGCAACGAGACCAGTAGCTCACGTGTGTGAGAGCGAGGCAGATGGGGGGGGGGGGGGGGTGGCGACATCATGTGGGTGTCTTCATCCTGCAATGGATAGACCACAGGGCTGCTGCTGCTGCTGCTGATAATGACGACGACGACGACGATGATATTTACGATCGCATGTTAACGTCTGCTCCCCCCTCCCCCACTCCCCATTTGTGGCATTCCTCCGCAGCTTGCTTCTTGGACTCCATGGCCACGCTCGGTCTGGCAGCGTATGGGTATGGAATTCGCTACGAGTATGGCATCTTCAACCAGCGCATCAAGAACGGCTGGCAGGTCATTAATTAATGAATTCATTCATTAATATTCCATTGCTCGTGATGATGTCGACAGCCCCGAGGTGTCCGCGTGGCTCTAAAATCAGAATGCCGAGCGGGCAAATGCCATTTGATTTCAGGCAGAAAGCTGCCCTGCTATTAAACTTGAATGAGTTGATGGGCTCATCCTGGACGCCAAGCATGATGGGGGGGGGGGGGGTGGTAAACATTTTTTTTATTTAAAATTGGTTCTGCACCGAATTTGCCTAAATCCCAAATGAGAATTAAAAATTTACCGGTGTGACTGGCATGCGGCGGACGTCACCCCCGACGAGATAACCCTCTGGATTCCCAGATGGGTTCAGTCCACAGATGGACTCAATCCAGCGAGTGGACCAAAATCTATCCGTGGACTCCCCCCCCCCCCCCCCCCCCGATCCACTTCTTGTACTGCCATCATTGTTTGCACTTTTGTCATTTTTGGTGGCCCAGGTCGCTCTTGCAAATGAGACCCATCCTGGTTTTGCGTCGAAGCCAGGGTGAACTTTGACTTATCTCTGCGACCAGGTGGAGGAGGCTGACGATTGGCTGCGCTTCGGGAACCCCTGGGAGAAGGCCCGACCCGAGTACATGCTGCCCATCCACTTCTACGGCCGCGTGGTGCGCACCGCCGACGGGCCCAAGTGGGTGGACACGCAGGTACCGTGCTCGCGCATTTGTGTGTGTGTGTATGTATATATTGCGGGGAGCGGTGGTGTAGCGGGTTAGCGCGCTGCACTACGAACCCGGCGACCCGAGTTCGATTCCCGCTCAAGGCCAACGCTAGTGACGATTATCTGAACTGGTCCTGGGCCTCTCCTAGGTCGACTCGGCCTCAAATGAGTACCTGGTGTGGTGTGTAAAACATCACCACTGGGGAGACAAAGGCGGCCAGGAGTGGTGTTGGCCACCCACCCCCTCTTGTGCCGTTCTGGCCTTCATAGGTGCTCGCTAACAGCACTTGCCCGAACAGTTTGTTACAGGCTATACGGGGGATTTTTGAATTTGTATGTGTGTGTATATATGTAGTGGGGAGCGGTAGTCGTAGCGGTTAGCGCGCGCTTCATTATGAACCTGTCGACCCGAGTTCTATTCCCGCTTACGGTCAACACCAGTGACGAATATCCGAGCCGGTTCTGGCCTTCGCCTGGGGCGAGTCTGCCTCAACAGGATGTCTCTGGGCAGAGCAAGGTGTTATGGGTTAACTGAGATCACTGTGTCAACTGACACGTAAGCACATACTACAGGCATGCTCACACAAACATATACGTACATACATACGAAGACCAAACAAAGATCTACCATATAGCTTAAACGGACTGTTGGGACAAGTGCTATTCGTGAGCACGTATGAAGGCCGGCATGGCACACGAGGGGCTCGGTGGTCAGCCCCACACCTGGTTCACCTTAGCCTCCCTAATAGCAATCTTTACATATCGCACCTAAATTTTTCATTTGAGGCTGACTCGATCGAGGCAAAGCCCAGGACCAGTTCAAATATTTGCCCACTTGTTAATGATCGTGAGCGGGAATCGAACTCGGGTCGTCGGGTTTGTCGTGCGGCGCATTAAACGCTGCGCCACCACTACAACAACAACAACAACCGCCATTCGCCACTAAGTGGCGGTGACGTCACCACGACGCTTGTGCCAGGCCATGTGCACCTTGAGGCCACGTGAAGTGTCGAACGCCCGCTGGCAGGAGGTCACGGGGCAGACCCAGGTGCCACGGGTCGACTGACCGCACGTGCACACATACATACATGTACGTATGTATGCACACACATTGCAACAGATTTGAAGCGAACACCATTGATTGGGATCCTTGCATCCAAATCCGTTTTTTTTTGCCACCTGCAGTATTTTGGTTTTCTTGAAGGGTTTAGCTGTAATGCAGTAGCTACTAATAGACAACAATTCACGTACCAATTTATAATAACCGTTCATCAATAAACATGTTTTAAATGACAATTCTTCTCAGGCCCCATGGTATAAAGTGCGGTCTTTAACTCGTATCCATTCCATCTCTCTGACCTTTATATGCTCGCGATGAGAAGAAGAGCCATTGCCTGATACGTCACCATTGATTTATTTTCCCTTTTAAGGCCAAGATTTTAATGACGACAGTGAGTTTTTTTAATTTGTGCAATTATCCCAGGTTCGTCTTCGCTTTCATCACCTGGTCTCACCCTCATCGCCTACAACTGCGCAAAGACTCTCGCATTAAATTGTGTTTTTCAATTAATTTGGAATTTTATACTTTGGAGGTTTGAAAATATGAGTTGATTGGCGTGTAATTACCTGTTCGTGGTGAATGAATCAACCGTGTCTAGTGTGGGATGAAAGAGGCCATTTGAAGTGACTCCAGAAATAGTGCGGTGACTTTATCTGCTGTGGCCACTTGCCGGCATCATGTGACAGAGAGCGTTGGCTCTCCTATAAAGAGTTCTGGATGATAAATTATTCATCTCAGACAAGACACCAATCGGCATCATCATCATCAGCCATGATGAATCTGCTGCCGGATAAGGGCCTTCCCAAGCTCTGTGTCTGTCATGGAAGTTGTTTGACCATACTTCACCACGCTGGTCCGAGTAGAGTAGTGAAGGAGGTGGCATTCAGATCGGTTTAATATCTCTCGCCACTTACGTTAGCCATGGCCAGGAATCGAATGTGGATGGAATTCATAATCGTTATGAAAAACAACCTTGTTCATTAACGTATTCATGTGGATTATATTATAAAACACCATCTCCCACTTTCCCGCGATACAACGCCGAGGACCACTAGCCCAATTATAATATTGCTTGGAGGTAAAAAAAAACGTGAGAGGTGTTAGGTGAATTATAATCGTAGGTGTCTCGGAGCCTGGCATTACTTGTAAAAAAACTGGTAGGGTGTTTTAGATGTTAACGAATATCCTCGGTATCTGTAGAGTTAATTTCTAGAGGCCCATTAAAAAAACAAAAATCCATAGCCCATTTTTTATTTTCGGCTACAGGGATTAATGTGTATATAATAGACAAAATGGATATGCCACGCAGCAGTTTACTATTTTAAAGTGTGGCTACTCGCACTTTTTCAAAGATGTCGGGCCATCATGGAAGAGTAGGCCAAATAACCTCGAGAGAGGCTCTATCATAGCTGCCCCTCGTGGTGGCCCTTCCACCATCAGTGGGGTGAGCAAGAGGTTTAGGGCTCCACCTTCACCTTTCAATATGTCATTTTACATGCACAGTATCCTCACCATCTTCATGCGCACGTTATCGCATGGATAGAGGGTCCATATCAAACGGAAGCTCCGTACGTCGCAGAAATTCAAATCTCTAGCTTGTGCGGTATCTATCATTTCGTCATTTAGATAATCCCCGTGTAGAGACAGCCGCGAAACAGAAGAGATTTTCCTGTGTTGACACCAACAATTTTTTTTGTAGGTTGGGCCCACTGAGCTTATATAGCTCTTAGAAGTTACCTGACCACAAATGATAGCTCAACGAAATGGCTTATGTGGAAATTTGTAGCAGCCAAATAATCTAAATGCGTGTTGATTCTAAAAGTGGAGGGCAGAAACTGGAGGACCCGGAAAAAGAATCCACGCGGCCACAGGGAGAGAGACACTCACACTCCAAATATGCAGTAACATAGTCGACTTATATTGTATATTGTATAATGTTTCTGGAGCTGAGTTTGTGTATTTGTGCTGTGGAGGTAAATCTGCCTGAGCCAATTTGCGATGCAGGGAATTTAATCTTTAGCTTTCATTTGACGTTGATTTGACGTTTCTGCAATATTTTCTCGCGTAATGCACTTGTTTTTTGTGATTTCTATTCACTTAATTGCTTTATTTTATTTGTTTATATTTTGTCATATTGGAAACCCAGCTCACTCGTGCAAATGAGAATCGCGAAGTTTAAGAACACAACTTGAAGCAAAAGAGATTAATTCAGAACCAGTTCATTTAAACGTGGTGCGTCGCTGCAAGTAGCCTGCGTCACATCAGACCACGTTTAAGACTCTTGCAATTTTGCGTGTAAAGTTCCAAAGTCTCCAACAACCGAGCTAAAGAGACTTCTCGAGATCCTAAGAGTAGCAGGAGAAAACATCCAAAGCCCCCTCTGCATGGCTGCCCAGATGTCTGAGATGGATTGTAAGAATTGTGTGGCAAGGCAGGATAAGGCATGCAGTGGTCCAGAATAGACCATGGCAGGTAGGTGTTGTAGTATTGCTTGGGTAAGCAACAACAACAAAAAGGTTATGCTTAGGTAGGACGTGTGTGTGGGATTGGACGATGGTCGATTGCCAATACAGGCATTGTATCTAATTCATGTACCCACCCAGCAGTATAACAAAAGCAGTAATTGACCACTTCACAACTCTTCCTCCCCCGCTGCCCTTCCTGGCTCCTCCCCCCTTAACCACTATATAAGGTACAGATATTTTGCTGTGACGGTTTCACCTGAAGACGGAAGCTTGTGTTGCCTCCGAAACGTCGTCATTTTTATTGGTTTATTTTTATTAATTTTAATTACATTTTTTACCTACGTGACTTTACCGAAAGAACTAAGAGTATGGTCTCTAGGAGTCCCTGTGGAGCAAAGGGGGGAAGGCTTGAGAACCGACGGTGGGTGCGATCCTGTCAGGGAAGATCTTGAAGGTTTGTGTGGCTCCTGTACAGCAGCTGCGGGAACTGGCGGAGGCTAGAGAGCGTTGGTAGCAGGAGGTGCAGTGGTGGTGGCATCGGCGGCTTTGGCCACGATGACAACTTGATCTTGAATCTCTGGGGGGTTTATTTCCCCTAGAGGACGCTTTGGACTTCAACCTCTTGTGCATGCTCATGACCCACCAGCCGACTCGCCTCCGGTCCGCTGAGACAGCCAGGGCCCCGTGACAACTCATCATTATAAGTGGCCCCTCGCCTTGCAGCTGACCTGCACACACGCACACTTAGCCACGTAACCTCGCGCATATCAATTGTCCAATCAATTCGCGAAATGCAAAACGCCGCGATGTTAGAGGTGACGCGTGATAGGGGCGCGCGTCAATCTGGAGATAACGAAACCGAGTTTGCTTCTTGATTTAATAACCACGTGGCACGGCTGTCATGGCCACCGCTCGTGTGTCGCGTTTGAAAAGCTCCTTGCATGCGGACGCGAGATGGGTATACACACGCGAAGACAAAGGTCCCCCTTATAGCCGCCGCACTCACGAACTCAGGCACCTGAGTTCGATTCCAGCTTACAGCTCGCGTCCGTGGTCAATATCTGAGCTAGGTATGGGTCTCCCCTAAGTCGACTCGGCTTTAAATGAGTGCGTAAACACCAACGCTGGGCGGACAAAGGCGGTGAGAATGGTATTGACTGTGCCACCGTCTGGTGCTGGCTTTCATAGGTGCTTGCTAACAGCACTTGCCCTATTAGCCTGTGTGGCTATATGGGGGAGCTTTGTCTTCGTCGCATTACACACTCGGATGTACAAGCAAAGATCCCCCATGTAGCCTTAACAGACAGTTGGGGCAAGTCCTGTGAGTGAGCAACTATGAAGGCCAGCGTGGTACAAGAGGAGGTGGTGGTCACCATGCCCGGCCACCTTTGTCTGCCCAGTGCTGATGTTTACACACTGCACTGGGTACGCATTGAAGGCCGAGTTGACCTTGGAGAGGCA